CCGGCCAACTTATTCAGGGCAGTTGAAATTCTGCTTTGTCCTGTTGTCAGTGGCACAAGCCAAACTTGACAGCTGCCATGTCCCAAGACCTTGACGCAGCCTAGCACGTCCCTGAACTCTTAGCTGAAGCAGTTCCTTCAGGTCCAGTCTAGATACCCGAGACTGTTCGGAAGCGGATGTGTCGCTGCTATCTTCACTACCGTTCACTACCCCATGTGCGGGTCAGTAGCGAGAAGCGGCTACCACAGGATGCCCGGTACAGATTCACGATGTACGCCAAACTTGTGGCTCCGGCCACCATCTAGATGATGTCAGCGAAGCCTAAGGCCAGAAGACAGGACCTATGATGCCGTTTTGAACGCCCGAAGGGTAGAATCGCAGAAGCGATAGTTTCGGCGAGGCCAAGCTCCGTAGCCCACCTGGCCGCCTAGCTTCGCAGCCTCGCCAAAGTCTTCCAAGGCTGGCTTTGCGCTTTGCTCTGAGGAATCCCTGTCAACGTCCCCAACCTTGCCGCAACGAAGGCCGTCGACAGCAGGAGGCTCTAGCTGCCTGTGTGCGAATGCTGAAACTTCCCCCGCTATGCCTCCGACGTCGTGTGATATCAACTGCAAGCCCGCTCTGAGTCTGCTTGAAAGAGAATACAACTCATCAGTCCGGTGAATTCACCAGCTGCCTAAAGTTATGTGTTCTTATCGGTCGTACTCCGAGGCTGTTCGGAACAGTAGACTTCGTAAGGTCATGACGGCACGTGCACCCCTCATGCAGCTCGGTTGAAAGCCATGAGCCCCAATTTCAGGCAAGTCCGCTTGTCTTGCCCTGCTCGTCAGGAGAAGTTGCGCGCACACCAGTAGTCAGAGCGGATGCTGGCAAACCACCGGGGCATAAGCATCCCAGACATTCACAATGCACATCGCGCTGGTCGGAAGCCCAGTCCGAGTATAACAAACTGCACACACGAAGGGCGTGAAGCAGTGTAGCTTCTTGGTCATCCGCTTCAGAACCATGGGACTCAAACTGAGATGTAGCTCCGAGTCTGATACAACATCGAGAGTTTACATCCTCTTGCAACAACAAGCATGGCAATCTCGATCGTGCTGCAGTGTTGGACTCTGCCACAGCTTTCATGCCAAAGTTGATGTCAATGTGTGAGTGAGACTAACAGGTAACCAGCCGTACTGGTACCATTTTAAACCGACTTTCCAGCCCTGAGTCGGAGTTCTCAGAAATTCCAAGGGTGATTTTGAGGGCCTGCGGCCACTGCTTTTCAACAGGAGAGACACTCACTGTGCCCATCTTCCACCAGCGCGCGGAGTCGCGGAGCGAGTTGCAGGAGTCGGCTCCGGCCATCAAAAGAAAAGCTGATTTCAAGTTCGTGACCCAGGACTTTGCTTTCTGGCTCCGGCCAGCGAAAGGGAAGTGTTTTTGCCCTAGGGCCTTAAGGTCATATACGGGGCTACATCGGAGCGGATACCCGCTAAGATACCTTAGGGTGGACCCAGGGGGCATGCGGTCCGCCGCAGCAAATCGGCTGACAGCCTGACGAGCTTAGCGGCTACGGCGCACGAGAACTGTCCGAAGTCTTTCGCCAAGCCCAAGCCCAGGTTTGTCGCGGTTTGCTGGTTTGATCTTCCAGTGCCACTTGAAGCCGGTAACCACAGGAAGGCTGTGGCCATGGAGGTCACGGGCAGAGTCCCATATCAACTCGTGCACTAATGTCTACGAGGCTCGGGGGCGCTTTCAGTTTGGCTTGACAGAGAGGAGCCCGGAGCCTTGTTCCCGATTTCACCAAGGGCTACACTTTGTCAAACTACCACCCTTCGAGTCCAAACAGTTCGGGGGTGTGGCATGCCAAGAAGCGATACAGGCGAGCACATCTCTATGCACCAGCAGTTTTTTGCATTGCTGCAAGTATTTGTGAGAGCATGTGCATGAAATTTCAATGATTTTTGCATCTGTCCAGCTGGCCTGCAACAAAACTGTCTGCAGACAACAGGAAGCCGTGAACCAGAAACTCCTGGCCCTGCGGTGTCTCTTTCGACGGCTTCGGCTCAGTTGTAGACTCAGACAAACTGCGCCAAGGAGTCCAACATTTCCTAGTTCGCAGACATCCCGGCTCCTATATGTCCCAGAAATGGGGACTCCATCCTTCTTATAACTGTACCGTCTATCCAGTTTGCCTTAGCCCTCCACAGAGCGGTCAACTGGGCCAAATGCCTAGTATTTGCAGGCGGTTCTTTGGCTGAGAGCAGTCAAACTTCATCATGCAGCTCCGTATCAGAGGATGTTTTACCGGTCGCTCTGCTAGGTCTAGGTGAGCTGAATTCAGCATCATCATGGCTCTAGTGGCTTTTGTACGCGGCTTCACGCTGGCTCCACTTGGCCGCAGGGGATCGCGATACATGCCCTGAGCCTCAGGATGTTTGCTGGCGCTTCCGGCCGCCTCCAGTTCGTCGCGACTTAAACAGTCCGAGGCCTTGCTGTTGCGAGCGTGTCCAGACATGTGGCCCCGGCCACCAAAGGCTTTGCCGCAGCTCACCATGCACGTGACATGCCTACCCGCGACCCATGGGGATATGTTGTGGCTCCGGCCACCTGTGCATGCCAGCACCGGGACTTGCCATTTCGAACCCGAGCAAGGATAGTGCCTTTGCTGCAAAATTTGCCGGAGGGCACCTGCAGTTCGCACGATGTATCCCCCGAACTCTCCATAATGGCCTGGCGCGACTAGAGGCGGTAGACTCTTGGAAGCCACTGCGCGAAATGGTCAGAATTGGCAGTGCTGTAGGTTGTACATCTATCTGCCCATAGCAGTTATTGCATCCACTACAAGCAGAGGAGGATGTGAAGATATGCGCCTGCAGCACTGCCTTGTTGTTCCTCGACTGTTGATTCCGGCCACTCCCCGTAAGAAAGCGTGACTGAGGACTATCTCTTGTCTCCTAGAAGCACTCAAGCTCTAGCTTGCTCACGTTTTCGTGCATAAGCCTACCTGGAAGTGGCAAATTCGAGGTCCTAATTCTTGCTTCGCTTTGACCCTCATTGTGTCAGGACATCACACATCAGAGTCCCGTACATGACATCACAAGGGCGATCAAGGCGAAGAAGAGCTCGCACACCTGGCTCCGGCCAGCGAAAGATTCGAGAGTATGGCCATACAGCCCACCAGAAGACTGCAAAGATCTACTCCGTCACTTCAAATGAAGCCTGACAAAAGCCCAAACTCCTCCATCATCGATGTCAAGAATACAATGTGACGATCCACTATGCCGCCGTGGCGACTTGAATGCACTTGACGAGGGTCAGACTCTTTGCAAATTTGCGAACTGCAGTCTTATTGCTTCGGTCTGACTGCAAGGATTCTGCTGAGATGAGCTCGATCCCCGGGTGCCAAGACAGTTGGGGACCAAGCTTTTGCAGAAAGTCGCATGTTACCGCACCAGCAGGTCAAGCCTATCGAAGCCCTGGACCGCCATCATCTGCTGATACTCTATATATATATATATATACATATATATATATATATATACATACATACATACATATACATACATACATACATACCTCGTGCATACATGATGATTCCGGCGTGCACGCCTTCCATACAGGCGTACATTACAGTACACTACGTTACAATACAGTACGTTCCAGAACATAACGTAACATATACTTGTGTGTGCATGTGAAGGTGTGCGTTTCATGTGTCTAAATACAGCTCTCCATGCGTAGAGGAACCAGAACCAGCCTGCTTGCAATCAACTTTTCCTATCAAAACCCCAACTTACCCTTCCCCGATGTGGCAAGATGCGCAGCGATATCCAACGTTGGAATCTGCTTTGTCAATGCCCCGGCTAGGTCGGTGAGCACATCCTCAAGGTGTGACTTGGGAGGTTCACCATTAAGGTCATGAAGTGCAACAAAATCGCATCAAAAGTGAGCATACATACAACATCTCACATGCACAAGGCTGTACTGATCAATGTGAACTACTGCACTACAATCAGAGACGCGTTTGTCGAAGGTCCATCTACTTTTCACCTTGACAACGCACGTGCAGCCTTGCCCGGAAAGCACAGGATGTAACCAAAGGAACCACGGAGGTCTTGCCATGTTTTGCCGCATGTCCGCCGTCACGCAATGGCGGACGCTTCGCTAAGACAGAAGCATCGGCCCTGCACAGTTCTCAAGTTGGCTCAAAACAGGGGCCCCCTGCAATTTCCAGTCATGGCGAAGGCAAGCCAGAGAGAAGCTTTGCTGCTTAGCCGCCTTTGGCCTTGGCCATTGTCCTGACGTCTCAGGAGGATCCATTGGACATGGCTTTGCCGGACGAGGATGGCTCCGGTGACGACTATGACCGAGACGAGGAATCGCTGTGCATGTCTTGGTCGGTTCCCGCAGCTGACGTTAGCCGGCTGTTCGCTACATGTCACTCCAGCGGCAGGACTTCGATGGGGACTACAAGGGGGCCGAGGGCCTTGAGCTAAAGGGCCCTGAAGAGTTGGCCATGGACCGAAGCCACATGCGGAAGCCAACATAGCTCCCTCATGCCCGAAAACACCTGAGCGCTTTATCGAGGACTTCGATGTCTTTGGCAGATATGTGCAAAGTTCACAGACAGAGAACGGCAAGCCCGTATTTCTGGGGCCGCTCGGCGCCGGAGTATGGGAGCATGTCACGAAAATTAAGCGGAGTTTTTTCCGCTTGTCTCAGGCCCAAAACCGAGGGAGCGAGGCCGAGCATTGCATTCACGCTCGGCGGCGATGAAAAGCCCACATGGTGGATTTGCGATGCGTCGCGAACTCGACCAGACTCGGATCTTGTGCTCACAGCAATCATGCTCATGCTTGTGCGTGTACGTACACTGCAAAGCCACTGATAGTGCTTGCATGATCAACTTGAGTTGCTCGTCGTATGTGTCGCTTGTTGAGCACTTTGGGCTCTTGGATCACCTTCCAACAGTTTACTGCTAGCACGGAGCGCGAACACCTCGTGCAAGATTTCCGATGCCTCTCCACATGTGGAAACTTGGCTGTGCATGTGCCGCGTGGGTAATAACCCTCGCCATGGCAGACAAGTATGACAAGTGCGTCTCGACAGCTTCCGGTGCTTGGGGCAGTGGCGACCAAGATGCCTGCGAAGCTGAGAAGCCCCCGCAGAGCAGCGGCTTGCTGCAAAAACACATGCAGCAGTCGGCGGGCGAGTCCCTCATCGATGACGGAGTCCATGAGGAGTTGAAGGACTTCCTTGTGGAGCTTGCAGGATGCTTGAACGAGTCGATGACGCTTGCGAACCAGAGCGGGGACACTGTTCGGGCCAAGCAGCTCGAGACCATCTTAGTGTATGAGCTCACTGCGAAACAAGCCTCCCTTGGAACGCCAGTTGATCCCGTGCTCCTCGATGCCATGAAGGATGGTGCTGCTTCGGCGGCTCTGGCCATAGTGAGCAAGGACGGGCTTTGGCAATCGATTCATGACTCAATGACATGTTCCGAGCACAGACTCCGAGAGTCTGAGAGTTCGAGTATGCGTATTGACGATGCGCAATACCAAAAATCATCCAAACTCCGAAGTGGAAGAGCCCCTCCATGAGGCTTGCTTAGTCTTCCAGTCGAGACCGCTGCCAGAAAGACCAGTGTGCTCTTATATGCTTGCACGATCTTGTAGACAACGTGCGTAGAAGGCATTGCATGGGCCCTGAAGGACTTTTGGGAGATCTTGATGGCCACCATAAGCCGCAGGGACCTCACCGATGCCGTCATCAACGAGTTTACCACGGTCTTGGAGAACATGGCCACAGCCTGCGGCGATGGAGACGAGGCAGTTGAGATCGCTGGGGACGAGAAGCAATTGCTCACGCCAACAAATGGCGGCAACATCTCAGAGACGGCTTCCAAAGTTGCCATTGAAATTCCCATGGTGGCATGGGAGCTGTGTCAGTCCGAGGTGATGGAAGTGGACTTTTTTGCAAAGCATGGTGCATTGCTGACCCATACAGCAGAGTGCACGCCTCAGGTGTCTGCAGCCCTAAGCCAAAAGAGCCAGCATCTTCGAGAGGATATGAACTATCGTATGAAGCAGCTCTTGGTCTTGCACTCCGACGAGAACCAACTGGGCCATCAGCTGACGCAGCACATGAAGCAGCACGGAGTGTTTGGGCACCTTGCGTCCCCAGCGGAGGACCTGCGGCGGGGCATCCGCGGCGCCGCCGTTGCCGAGCTGTCGCCCAAGAAGCGTGCGCAGTTGGAGTATTTGCAGACCAAGAAGTGGCAGACGACCCACGGGCTGTCCAGGCAGGAGCAGTGCGAAAAAATGACCAATGTGCCGGACTACAAGCACTGCTTCTGTGTGGAGGAGCAGCCCGAGTTGGTCTGCGAGGCAAAGCACGCAGCTGAGTTGCAGCATGCCTATGCGGGAGCTTCCCAGAAGCTGCAGCATGCTCAAGAGCAGCTCCTGCAAAGGAAGCGGACCCAGCTCCATGCCAATGAAAGCAAGATCCTGCCAGGTCCTTGCGCTCCGCCCTTGTCATGCTCGATGTGCAGCGGAGGCGTTTGCCTTTCAGCCAGCGCCGACGTGGCTGACACTTTCAAGAGCATTCAAACGAAACTCGTGAAAAGTTCCAGCTCGACATGCTTCTCTGGCAGCTGTTCCATTTCCTTTGGCTGGCCCAAGGGCACTTGCGAACTCACCTTCACGCTAACGTTGGGTGCCACCATCACGAACTGCCAAAACGCTGGCAATGTCTTGTCGAGCTTCCACATACACTTCAGTGCCAGTATGTGCCTGGGGGGTGCTGCAGGTGCGGCGGTCGCGCAATTTGGCCAGGCCATTGGCTGGAATGGCTGCCATACAATTCTCAGCATCAAGTATTACCCCTTCATCGGCAAGATTTCAGCAAGCGGTGGCATTCCGGTCTGGTTCCCAAACATGCGGGCAGAACTGGCCATAACAGTGCCAGTCCACGATCTCACGGCGCCAGTGTGGTCTTGGATCAACAGGGCCATCACACAGGAGGAGCGCAATGCCAAGTCGATGACTTGCGTCCTTATCAATGACATTTGCTTCGGCTCGATGAGAAGCTGGTTTGCTTTCTGCACACTGGAGGCTATGATAAATTGCCAAGCCCAGCTCATAGAAGTAGACGCAGCAATTCGGGCAGAAAGGCATGGGGCCATGCTTACCGCTCGAGGCTATGCGGACATTGACCTCAACGCCCAGACGCTTGTCCCGTGGCACGGGTGGTTCACGTTCCACAATCTTGACCTGGTCTGAAGATCTCAGTGCGTAGAAGCACCGAGAAGTCCTGGCCGGGTCATGGCAACATAGAACAGACGCACTTGTATCAGCTTGGAAAAGACAGGCTACGCTTTCGTGAGCTAGTTTTCGACGCTGCACCTTGCGATGTATGCTTGCTTGAAGTGCTGTATGACAGCACCAGCATACGTCATGTACTCGTTAGACGTCAGAAGACTTCGTTGGCATCCCGTCTTGTTGAAACATTTGACTTTGCCCATGTCCATTGCGAGCGCATGTCTCAGGTCTGGTGGCGAGTGCTTCTATGCAAGGCGAAGAAGAGCTCGCACACCTGGCTCCGGCCAGCGAAAGATTCGAGAGTATGGCCATACAGCCCACCAGAAGACTGCAAAGATCTACTCCGTCACTTCAAATGAAGCCTGACAAAAGCCCAAACTCCTCCATCATCGATGTCAAGAATACAATGTGACGATCCACTATGCCGCCGTGGCGACTTGAATGCACTTGACGAGGGTCAGACTCTTTGCAAATTTGCGAACTGCAGTCTTATTGCTTCGGTCTGACTGCAAGGATTCTGCTGAGATGAGCTCGATCCCCGGGTGCCAAGACAGTTGGGGACCAAGCTTTTGCAGAAAGTCGCATGTTACCGCACCAGCAGGTCAAGCCTATCGAAGCCCTGGACCGCCATCATCTGCTGATACTCTATATATATATATATATATACATATATATATATATATACATACATACATACATACATACATATATATACATACATACATACCTCGTGCATACATGATGATTCCGGCGCGCACGCCTTCCATACAGGCGTACATTACAGTACACTACGTTACAATACAGTACGTTCCAGAACATAACGTAACATATACTTGTGTGTGCATGTGAAGGTGTGCGTTTCATGTGTCTAAATACAGCTCTCCATGCGTAGAGGAACCAGAACCAGCCTGCTTGCAATCAACTTTTCCTATCAAAACCCCAACTTACCCTTCCCCGATGTGGCAAGATGCGCAGCGATATCCAACGTTGGAATCTGCTTTGTCAATGCCCAGGCTAGGTCGGTGAGCACATCCTCAAGGTGTGACTTGGGAGGTTCACCATTAAGGTCATGAAGTGCAACAAAATCGCATCAAAAGTGAGCATGCATACAACATCTCACATGCACAAGGCTGTACTGATCAATGTGAACTACTGCACTACAATCAGAGACGCGTTTGTCGAAGGTCCATCTACTTTTCACCTTGACAACGCACGTGCAGCCGTGCCCGGAAAGCACAGGATGTAACCAAAGGAACCACGGAGGTCTTGCCATGTTTTGCCGCATGTCCGCCGTCACGCAATGGCGGACGCTTCGCTAAGACAGAAGCATCGGCCCTGCACAGTTCTCAAGTTGGCTCAAAACAGGGGCCCCCTGCAATTTCCAGTCATGGCGAAGGCAAGCCAGAGAGAAGCTTTGCTGCTTAGCCGCCTTTGGCCTTGGCCATTGTCCTGACGTCTCAGGAGGATCCATTGGACATGGCTTTGCCGGACGAGGATGGCTCCGGTGACGACTATGACCGAGACGAGGAATCGCTGTGCATGTCTTGGTCGGTTCCCGCAGCTGACGTTAGCCGGCTGTTCGCTACATGTCACTCCAGCGGCAGGACTTCGATGGGGACTACAAGGGGGCCGAGGGCCTTGAGCTAAAGGGCCCTGAAGAGTTGGCCATGGACCGAAGCCACATGCGGAAGCCAACATAGCTCCCTCATGCCCGAAAACACCTGAGCGCTTTATCGAGGACTTCGATGTCTTTGGCAGATATGTGCAAAGTTCACAGACAGAGAACGGCAAGCCCGTATTTCTGGGGCCGCTCGGCGCCGGAGTATGGGAGCATGTCACGAAAATTAAGCGGAGTTTTTTCCGCTTGTCTCAGGCCCAAAACCGAGGGAGCGAGGCCGAGCATTGCATTCACGCTCGGCGGCGATGAAAAGCCCACATGGTGGATTTGCGATGCGTCGCGAACTCGACCAGACTCGGATCTTGTGCTCACAGCAATCATGCTCATGCTTGTGCGTGTACGTACACTGCAAAGCCACTGATAGTGCTTGCATGATCAACTTGAGTTGCTCGTCGTATGTGTCGCTTGTTGAGCACTTTGGGCTCTTGGATCACCTTCCAACAGTTTACTGCTAGCACGGAGCGCGAACACCTCGTGCAAGATTTCCGATGCCTCTCCACATGTGGAAACTTGGCTGTGCATGTGCCGGGTGGGTAATAACCCTGGCCATGGCAGACAAGTATGACAAGTGCGTCTCGACAGCTTCCGGTGCTTGGGGCAGTGGCGACCAAGATGCCTGCGAAGCTGAGAAGCCCCCGCAGAGCAGCGGCTTGCTGCAAAAACACATGCAGCAGTCGGCGGGCGAGTCCCTCATCGATGACGGAGTCCATGAGGAGTTGAAGGACTTCCTTGTGGAGCTTGCAGGATGCTTGAACGAGTCGATGACGCTTGCGAACCAGAGCGGGGACACTGTTCGGGCCAAGCAGCTCGAGACCATCTTAGTGTATGAGCTCACTGCGAAACAAGCCTCCCTTGGAACGCCAGTTGATCCCGTGCTCCTCGATGCCATGAAGGATGGTGCTGCTTCGGCGGCTCTGGCCATAGTGAGCAAGGACGGGCTTTGGCAATCGATTCATGACTCAATGACATGTTCCGAGCACAGACTCCGAGAGTCTGAGAGTTCGAGTATGCGTATTGACGATGCGCAATACCAAAAATCATCCAAACTCCGAAGTGGAAGAGCCCCTCCATGAGGCTTGCTTAGTCTTCCAGTCGAGACCGCTGCCAGAAAGACCAGTGTGCTCTTATATGCTTGCACGATCTTGTAGACAACGTGCGTAGAAGGCATTGCATGGGCCCTGAAGGACTTTTGGGAGATCTTGATGGCCACCATAAGCCGCAGGGACCTCACCGATGCCGTCATCAACGAGTTTACCACGGTCTTGGAGAACATGGCCACAGCCTGCGGCGATGGAGACGAGGCAGTTGAGATCGCTGGGGACGAGAAGCAATTGCTCACGCCAACAAATGGCGGCAACATCTCAGAGACGGCTTCCAAAGTTGCCATTGAAATTCCCATGGTGGCATGGGAGCTGTGTCAGTCCGAGGTGATGGAAGTGGACTTTTTTGCAAAGCATGGTGCATTGCTGACCCATACAGCAGAGTGCACGCCTCAGGTGTCTGCAGCCCTAAGCCAAAAGAGCCAGCATCTTCGAGAGGATATGAACTATCGTATGAAGCAGCTCTTGGTCTTGCACTCCGACGAGAACCAACTGGGCCATCAGCTGACGCAGCACATGAAGCAGCACGGAGTGTTTGGGCACCTTGCGTCCCCAGCGGAGGACCTGCGGCGGGGCATCCGCGGCGCCGCCGTTGCCGAGCTGTCGCCCAAGAAGCGTGCGCAGTTGGAGTATTTGCAGACCAAGAAGTGGCAGACGACCCACGGGCTGTCCAGGCAGGAGCAGTGCGAAAAAATGACCAATGTGCCGGACTACAAGCACTGCTTCTGTGTGGAGGAGCAGCCCGAGTTGGTCTGCGAGGCAAAGCACGCAGCTGAGTTGCAGCATGCCTATGCGGGAGCTTCCCAGAAGCTGCAGCATGCTCAAGAGCAGCTCCTGCAAAGGAAGCGGACCCAGCTCCATGCCAATGAAAGCAAGATCCTGCCAGGTCCTTGCGCTCCGCCCTTGTCATGCTCGATGTGCAGCGGAGGCGTTTGCCTTTCAGCCAGCGCCGACGTGGCTGACACTTTCAAGAGCATTCAAACGAAACTCGTGAAAAGTTCCAGCTCGACATGCTTCTCTGGCAGCTGTTCCATTTCCTTTGGCTGGCCCAAGGGCACTTGCGAACTCACCTTCACGCTAACGTTGGGTGCCACCATCACGAACTGCCAAAACGCTGGCAATGTCTTGTCGAGCTTCCACATACACTTCAGTGCCAGTATGTGCCTGGGGGGTGCTGCAGGTGCGGCGGTCGCGCAATTTGGCCAGGCCATTGGCTGGAATGGCTGCCATACAATTCTCAGCATCAAGTATTACCCCTTCATCGGCAAGATTTCAGCAAGCGGTGGCATTCCGGTCTGGTTCCCAAACATGCGGGCAGAACTGGCCATAACAGTGCCAGTCCACGATCTCACGGCGCCAGTGTGGTCTTGGATCAACAGGGCCATCACACAGGAGGAGCGCAATGCCAAGTCGATGACTTGCGTCCTTATCAATGACATTTGCTTCGGCTCGATGAGGAGCTGGTTTGCTTTCTGCACACTGGAGGCTATGATAAATTGCCAAGCCCAGCTCATAGAAGTAGACGCAGCAATTCGGGCAGAAAGGCATGGGGCCATGCTTACCGCTCGAGGCTATGCGGACATTGACCTCAACGCCCAGACGCTTGTCCCGTGGCACGGGTGGTTCACGTTCCACAATCTTGACCTGGTCTGAAGATCTCAGTGCGTAGAAGCACCGAGAAGTCCTGGCCGGGTCATGGCAACATAGAACAGACGCACTTGTATCAGCTTGGAAAAGACAGGCTACGCTTTCGTGAGCTAGTTTTCGACGCTGCACCTTGCGATGTATGCTTGCTTGAAGTGCTGTATGACAGCACCAGCATACGTCATGTACTCGTTAGACGTCAGAAGACTTCGTTGGCATCCCGTCTTGTTGAAACATTTGACTTTGCCCATGTCCATTGCGAGCGCATGTCTCAGGTCTGGTGGCGAGTGCTTCTATGCTGAGTGTGATGCCGATCGTCCTCCTAGGAGCTCCCCTGAGTCTACCGGGGTTGCGATGTTGTCAGGCTGGTTACATTACCTGAATCGTTGGCGAGGACCGGATGGCGAAACTACTCCGATGCTGAGGTGGAATTGGTGTTGGAGGCCGTGGCTCAAAACCGCCCTGGATCCAACTTGGGATTTTGGATGCCCTGGCAGGGAGGGTGGGTTGACGGCGAGGCGAAGAAGGCAAATCCGCTTCCCTTTCTTTTCGCTCAGTCCGGCGATTTTGGAGTTTCCGAAAATCAGGGGTACCTTATTATGGGGCTCCTTATGATCCTAGTTTTTAGGGTATTATATGTGGGTCCCATATTTTCGGAAAGTCCCAAAAGTTCATAGCTGCAGGACTCGCGCTCTGATCGGTCGCGGAGCCCACGCCGCGAGAAATGCCCTTGGTGAGGACAATCATAATAAAACCCATATCCTGGTGCTGTCATACTCGTGCCAAATATCCATGCCCAAGGGTGAGAGACAATCTGTAACCTTCAATCTGTGATATTAAGATATTGATGGACACAAGTTCCATCGACCGCTCAGCAGCAGCTGCATTCGACTGAACAACATCGGCCAAAACAAGCTCATGTGACCTTTCAGTCTTCAGCACGCATGTGGGGCTAGCTACCAGTTGAAATGCGACACTGCTCCCCCCTGAGACTCGAACACAAGCACGATGATGAAATGGGGAGCTGAAGCAAGCTCTGCTTGGTTTTCAAGCTACCAAAACAGCCCTCAACTCAGACGTACAAACTCGAACCAAGCGGGTGATGTATGTCACACTGACTCGTCGCATGCCATGGGCCTGCGCCTGGTAATGAAGATGGTATGGCAATGTTTGCCCAGCTGTGGGAGTACTGGCACGCTCGACAGTACGAGGAGGCAGCCAGCGAGGTTTGCCGACTGGTCGGAGTGGAAGAGGAAGCTTTTTCATCACAGAGGCAGCTGCTAACTGCTGCCGGAGCTGTACATGCTTCCGAGTGCCCAGCTTGGTCCGAGGAGGATCGATCCGTAGCATTGCTTGGGCGTAACTGCTGCAACCGATTGGCTGAGAGATCCTTGCGCAACAGCAACTGGCCCGAAGCAGCTCGATGGTGTGCTCTCGCCTGGCGACTTGAGGGTGGTCAGAGCTGCGCAAGTCTTTGGCTGGAAGATGGCAGCTGGGCAGCTGCTCGCTACCAGCGCTTATTCCATGCGGCAGAAGTCTTTCGCCTGGCATGCAAAGGACGAGGCCAGAAGGCCTCGAAGAAAGCGGCGAAAGCAGAGGAAGGAGGATTCGATGGATCGGAGTATCTGCAGGCTTCCAGAAGATGCCTGGAAACTTGCGAGGCAATACTCCAGAGGCACCCAGCATCACTCGGCCCTTTAGGACTTGTCCCCCCTTCAGCTGTTGAGTTGATCTTCTCCCAGAGTTTATATGAACATTTACATGGTGGCTGCGTACACAGATTACTGCCTTACAACCGGGCCGCACCCCGCACCCGTTACGTGCACCCGTACCACCGGTATGTATGTGACAAAGGATGAATGTTTGATGCGATCGTGCTGCAAATTTATGTAATGCCACAGGGGCGAGAATTGTAAGCGTCAGACGATTGGCATCGTGGGCTGCATCACATCGGGGTTGACATGGATTTGAGTATCCTTCCCTATTCATCGATATGTGTTTGTTTACGTATGCCCACTACTCTCAGTTTGTCTTGTAGGTGGCCGACCTGCACCGCAAACCCTGAAGGTATTTATACCTGCCACGACCTTGGCTGCAAGAGCTTCCGTCGATGCGCTGCGGTGCTTTCATATGCTTTGATCGTTGCTAAGGCCTGGCAGAAATCTGTTGGCAGCTGAAGGAGTGCTCTTCCCGTTCCACGGAGATCAGATCTTGAGGGACCGCACATCGGGCTTGGCAGGACATCGCTGCCGTTAGATGGAGCTGCCGACAAGCGCCCTCTGTCCGACAATAGGCATGCAACGTTCGTAATCTACATTTCACCGACACCTACCATATTCGACATGAAGGAAACTGAGCTTTCTTCGTCAGTGCGTCTGTTCCTGTCGTATTAAAGGGCTTTCCCCGAGCATGACAAAAGTGTCTTGCTCCAAGGTTGTCTCTACTATCGCCTGTGCTCACAGCAATCATGCTCATGCTTGTGCGTGTACGTACACTGCAAAGCCACTGATAGTGCTTGCATGATCAACTTGAGTTGCTCGTCGTATGTGTCGCTTGTTGAGCACTTTGGGCTCTTGGATCACCTTCCAACAGTTTACTGCTAGCACGGAGCGCGAACACCTCGTGCAAGATTTCCGATGCCTCTCCACATGTGGAAACTTGGCTGTGCATGTGCCGGGTGGGTAATAACCCTGGCCATGGCAGACAAGTATGACAAGTGCGTCTCGACAGCTTCCGGTGCTTGGGGCAGTGGCGACCAAGATGCCTGCGAAGCTGAGAAGCCCCCGCAGAGCAGCGGCTTGCTGCAAAAACACATGCAGCAGTCGGCGGGCGAGTCCCTCATCGATGACGGAGTCCATGAGGAGTTGAAGGACTTCCTTGTGGAGCTTGCAGGATGCTTGAACGAGTCGATGACGCTTGCGAACCAGAGCGGGGACACTGTTCGGGCCAAGCAGCTCGAGACCATCTTAGTGTATGAGCTCACTGCGAAACAAGCCTCCCTTGGAACGCCAGTTGATCCCGTGCTCCTCGATGCCATGAAGGATGGTGCTGCTTCGGCGGCTCTGGCCATAGTGAGCAAGGACGGGCTTTGGCAATCGATTCATGACTCAATGACATGTTCCGAGCACAGACTCCGAGAGTCTGAGAGTTCGAGTATGCGTATTGACGATGCGCAATACCAAAAATCATCCAAACTCCGAAGTGGAAGAGCCCCTCCATGAGGCTTGCTTAGTCTTCCAGTCGAGACCGCTGCCAGAAAGACCAGTGTGCTCTTATATGCTTGCACGATCTTGTAGACAACGTGCGTAGAAGGCATTGCATGGGCCCTGAAGGACTTTTGGGAGATCTTGATGGCCACCATAAGCCGCAGGGACCTCACCGATGCCGTCATCAACGAGTTTACCACGGTCTTGGAGAACATGGCCACAGCCTGCGGCGATGGAGACGAGGCAGTTGAGATCGCTGGGGACGAGAAGCAATTGCTCACGCCAACAAATGGCGGCAACATCTCAGAGACGGCTTCCAAAGTTGCCATTGAAATTCCCATGGTGGCATGGGAGCTGTGTCAGTCCGAGGTGATGGAAGTGGACTTTTTTGCAAAGCATGGTGCATTGCTGACCCATACAGCAGAGTGCACGCCTCAGGTGTCTGCAGCCCTAAGCCAAAAGAGCCAGCATCTTCGAGAGGATATGAACTATCGTATGAAGCAGCTCTTGGTCTTGCACTCCGACGAGAACCAACTGGGCCATCAGCTGACGCAGCACATGAAGCAGCACGGAGTGTTTGGGCACCTTGCGTCCCCAGCGGAGGACCTGCGGCGGGGCATCCGCGGCGCCGCCGTTGCCGAGCTGTCGCCCAAGAAGCGTGCGCAGTTGGAGTATTTGCAGACCAAGAAGTGGCAGACGACCCACGGGCTGTCCAGGCAGGAGCAGTGCGAAAAAATGACCAATGTGCCGGACTACAAGCACTGCTTCTGTGTGGAGGAGCAGCCCGAGTTGGTCTGCGAGGCAAAGCACGCAGCTGAGTTGCAGCATGCCTATGCGGGAGCTTCCCAGAAGCTGCAGCATGCTCAAGAGCAGCTCCTGCAAAGGAAGCGGACCCAGCTCCATGCCAATGAAAGCAAGATCCTGCCAGGTCCTTGCGCTCCGCCCTTGTCATGCTCGATGTGCAGCGGAGGCGTTTGCCTTTCAGCCAGCGCCGACGTGGCTGACACTTTCAAGAGCATTCAAACGAAACTCGTGAAAAGTTCCAGCTCGACATGCTTCTCTGGCAGCTGTTCCATTTCCTTTGGCTGGCCCAAGGGCACTTGCGAACTCACCTTCACGCTAACGTTGGGTGCCACCATCACGAACTGCCAAAACGCTGGCAATGTCTTGTCGAGCTTCCACATACACTTCAGTGCCAGTATGTGCCTGGGGGGTGCTGCAGGTGCGGCGGTCGCGCAATTTGGCCAGGCCATTGGCTGGAATGGCTGCCATACAATTCTCAGCATCAAGTATTACCCCTTCATCGGCAAGATTTCAGCAAGCGGTGGCATTCCGGTCTGGTTCCCAAACATGCGGGCAGAACTGGCCATAACAGTGCCAGTCCACGATCTCACGGCGCCAGTGTGGTCTTGGATCAACAGGGCCATCACACAGGAGGAGCGCAATGCCAAGTCGATGACTTGCGTCCTTATCAATGACATTTGCTTCGGCTCGATGAGGAGCTGGTTTGCTTTCTGCACACTGGAGGCTATGATAAATTGCCAAGCCCAGCTCATAGAAGTAGACGCAGCAATTCGGGCAGAAAGGCATGGGGCCATGCTTACCGCTCGAGGCTATGCGGACATTGACCTCAACGCCCAGACGCTTGTCCCGTGGCACGGGTGGTTCACGTTCCACAATCTTGACCTGGTCTGAAGATCTCAGTGCGTAGAAGCACCGAGAAGTCCTGGCCGGGTCATGGCAACATAGAACAGACGCACTTGTATCAGCTTGGAAAAGACAGGCTACGCTTTCGTGAGCTAGTTTTCGACGCTGCACCTTGCGATGTATGCTTGCTTGAAGTGCTGTATGACAGCACCAGCATACGTCATGTACTCGTTAGACGTCAGAAGACTTCGTTGGCATCCCGTCTTGTTGAAACATTTGACTTTGCCCATGTCCATTGCGAGCGCATGTCTCAGGTCTGGTGGCGAGTGCTTCTATGCTGAGTGTGATGCCGATCGTCCTCCTAGGAGCTCCCCTGAGTCTACCGGGGTTGCGATGTTGTCAGGCTGGTTACATTACCTGAATCGTTGGCGAGGACCGGATGGCGAAACTACTCCGATGCTGAGGTGGAATTGGTGTTGGAGGCCGTGGCTCAAAACCGCCCTGGATCCAACTTGGGATTTTGGATGCCCTGGCAGGGAGGGTGGGTTGACGGCGAGGCGAAGAAGGCAAATCCGCTTCCCTTTCTTTTCGCTCAGTCCGGCGATTTTGGAGTTTCCGAAAATCAGGGGTACCTTATTATGGGGCTCCTTATGATCCTAGTTTTTAGGGTATTATATGTGGGTCCCATATTTTCGGAAAGTCCCAAAAGTTCATAGCTGCAGGACTCGCGCTCTGATCGGTCGCGGAGCCCACGCCGCGAGAAATGCCCTTGGTGAGGACAATCATAATAAAACCCATATCCTGGTGCTGTCATACTCGTGCCAAATATCCATGCCCAAGGGTGAGAGACAATCTGTAACCTTCAATCTGTGATATTAAGATATTGATGGACACAAGTTCCATCGACCGCTCAGCAGCAGCTGCATTCGACTGAACAACATCGGCCAAAACAAGCTCATGTGACCTTTCAGTCTTCAGCACGCATGTGGGGCTAGCTACCAGTTGAAATGCGACACTGCTCCCCCCTGAGACTCGAACACAAGCACGATGATGAAATGGGGAGCTGAAGCAAGCTCTGCTTGGTTTTCAAGCTACCAAAACAGCCCTCAACTCAGACGTACAAACTCGAACCAAGCGGGTGATGTATGTCACACTGACTCGTCGCATGCCATGGGCCTGCGCCTGGTAATGAAGATGGTATGGCAATGTTTGCCCAGCTGTGGGAGTACTGGCACGCTCGACAGTACGAGGAGGCAGCCAGCGAGGTTTGCCGACTGGTCGGAGTGGAAGAGGAAGCTTTTTCATCACAGAGGCAGCTGCTAACTGCTGCCGGAGCTGTACATGCTTCCGAGTGCCCAGCTTGGTCCGAGGAGGATCGATCCGTAGCATTGCTTGGGCGTAACTGCTGCAACCGATTGGCTGAGAGATCCTTGCGCAACAGCAACTGGCCCGAAGCAGCTCGATGGTGTGCTCTCGCCTGGCGACTTGAGGGTGGTCAGAGCTGCGCAAGTCTTTGGCTGGAAGATGGCAGCTGGGCAGCTGCTCGCTACCAGCGCTTATTCCATGCGGCAGAAGTCTTTCGCCTGGCATGCAAAGGACGAGGCCAGAAGGCCTCGAAGAAAGCGGCGAAAGCAGAGGAAGGAGGATTCGATGGATCGGAGTATCTGCAGGCTTCCAGAAGATGCCTGGAAACTTGCGAGGCAATACTCCAGAGGCACCCAGCATCACTCGGCCCTTTAGGACTTGTCCCCCCTTCAGCTGTTGAGTTGATCTTCTCCCAGAGTTTATATGAACATTTACATGGTGGCTGCGTACACAGATTACTGCCTTACAACCGGGCCGCACCCCGCACCCGTTACGTGCACCCGTACCACCGGTATGTATGTGACAAAGGATGAATGTTTGATGCGATCGTGCTGCAAATTTATGTAATGCCACAGGGGCGAGAATTGTAAGCGTCAGACGATTGGCATCGTGGGCTGCATCACATCGGGGTTGACATGGATTTGAGTATCCTTCCCTATTCATCGATATGTGTTTGTTTACGTATGCCCACTACTCTCAGTTTGTCTTGTAGGTGGCCGACCTGCACCGCAAACCCTGAAGGTATTTATACCTGCCACGACCTTGGCTGCAAGAGCTTCCGTCGATGCGCTGCGGTGCTTTCATATGCTTTGATCGTTGCTAAGGCCTGGCAGAAATCTGTTGGCAGCTGAAGGAGTGCTCTTCCCGTTCCACGGAGATCAGATCTTGAGGGACCGCACATCGGGCTTGGCAGGACATCGCTGCCGTTAGATGGAGCTGCCGACAAGCGCCCTCTGTCCGACAATAGGCATGCAACGTTCGTAATCTACATTTCACCGACACCTACCATATTCGACATGAAGGAAACTGAGCTTTCTTCGTCAGTGCGTCTGTTCCTGTCGTATTAAAGGGCTTTCCCCGAGCATGACAAAAGTGTCTTGCTCCAAGGTTGTCTCTACTATCGCCTGTGCTCACAGCAATCATGCTCATGCTTGTGCGTGTACGTACACTGCAAAGCCACTGATAGTGCTTGCATGATCAACTTGAGTTGCTCGTCGTATGTGTCGCTTGTTGAGCACTTTGGGCTCTTGGATCACCTTCCAACAGTTTACTGCTAGCACGGAGCGCGAACACCTCGTGCAAGATTTCCGATGCCTCTCCACATGTGGAAACTTGGCTGTGCATGTGCCGGGTGGGTAATAACCCTGGCCATGGCAGACAAGTATGACAAGTGCGTCTCGACAGCTTCCGGTGCTTGGGGCAGTGGCGACCAAGATGCCTGCGAAGCTGAGAAGCCCCCGCAGAGCAGCGGCTTGCTGCAAAAACACATGCAGCAGTCGGCGGGCGAGTCCCTCATCGATGACGGAGTCCATGAGGAGTTGAAGGACTTCCTTGTGGAGCTTGCAGGATGCTTGAACGAGTCGATGACGCTTGCGAACCAGAGCGGGGACACTGTTCGGGCCAAGCAGCTCGAGACCATCTTAGTGTATGAGCTCACTGCGAAACAAGCCTCCCTTGGAACGCCAGTTGATCCCGTGCTCCTCGATGCCATGAAGGATGGTGCTGCTTCGGCGGCTCTGGCCATAGTGAGCAAGGACGGGCTTTGGCAATCGATTCATGACTCAATGACATGTTCCGAGCACAGACTCCGAGAGTCTGAGAGTTCGAGTATGCGTATTGACGATGCGCAATACCAAAAATCATCCAAACTCCGAAGTGGAAGAGCCCCTCCATGAGGCTTGCTTAGTCTTCCAGTCGAGACCGCTGCCAGAAAGACCAGTGTGCTCTTATATGCTTGCACGATCTTGTAGACAACGTGCGTAGAAGGCATTGCATGGGCCCTGAAGGACTTTTGGGAGATCTTGATGGCCACCATAAGCCGCAGGGACCTCACCGATGCCGTCATCAACGAGTTTACCACGGTCTTGGAGAACATGGCCACAGCCTGCGGCGATGGAGACGAGGCAGTTGAGATCGCTGGGGACGAGAAGCAATTGCTCACGCCAACAAATGGCGGCAACATCTCAGAGACGGCTTCCAAAGTTGCCATTGAAATTCCCATGGTGGCATGGGAGCTGTGTCAGTCCGAGGTGATGGAAGTGGACTTTTTTGCAAAGCATGGTGCATTGCTGACCCATACAGCAGAGTGCACGCCTCAGGTGTCTGCAGCCCTAAGCCAAAAGAGCCAGCATCTTCGAGAGGATATGAACTATCGTATGAAGCAGCTCTTGGTCTTGCACTCCGACGAGAACCAACTGGGCCATCAGCTGACGCAGCACATGAAGCAGCACGGAGTGTTTGGGCACCTTGCGTCCCCAGCGGAGGACCTGCGGCGGGGCATCCGCGGCGCCGCCGTTGCCGAGCTGTCGCCCAAGAAGCGTGCGCAGTTGGAGTATTTGCAGACCAAGAAGTGGCAGACGACCCACGGGCTGTCCAGGCAGGAGCAGTGCGAAAAAATGACCAATGTGCCGGACTACAAGCACTGCTTCTGTGTGGAGGAGCAGCCCGAGTTGGTCTGCGAGGCAAAGCACGCAGCTGAGTTGCAGCATGCCTATGCGGGAGCTTCCCAGAAGCTGCAGCATGCTCAAGAGCAGCTCCTGCAAAGGAAGCGGACCCAGCTCCATGCCAATGAAAGCAAGATCCTGCCAGGTCCTTGCGCTCCGCCCTTGTCATGCTCGATGTGCAGCGGAGGCGTTTGCCTTTCAGCCAGCGCCGACGTGGCTGACACTTTCAAGAGCATTCAAACGAAACTCGTGAAAAGTTCCAGCTCGACATGCTTCTCTGGCAGCTGTTCCATTTCCTTTGGCTGGCCCAAGGGCACTTGCGAACTCACCTTCACGCTAACGTTGGGTGCCACCATCACGAACTGCCAAAACGCTGGCAATGTCTTGTCGAGCTTCCACATACACTTCAGTGCCAGTATGTGCCTGGGGGGTGCTGCAGGTGCGGCGGTCGCGCAATTTGGCCAGGCCATTGGCTGGAATGGCTGCCATACAATTCTCAGCATCAAGTATTACCCCTTCATCGGCAAGATTTCAGCAAGCGGTGGCATTCCGGTCTGGTTCCCAAACATGCGGGCAGAACTGGCCATAACAGTGCCAGTCCACGATCTCACGGCGCCAGTGTGGTCTTGGATCAACAGGGCCATCACACAGGAGGAGCGCAATGCCAAGTCGATGACTTGCGTCCTTATCAATGACATTTGCTTCGGCTCGATGAGGAGCTGGTTTGCTTTCTGCACACTGGAGGCTATGATAAATTGCCAAGCCCAGCTCATAGAAGTAGACGCAGCAATTCGGGCAGAAAGGCATGGGGCCATGCTTACCGCTCGAGGCTATGCGGACATTGACCTCAACGCCCAGACGCTTGTCCCGTGGCACGGGTGGTTCACGTTCCACAATCTTGACCTGGTCTGAAGATCTCAGTGCGTAGAAGCACCGAGAAGTCCTGGCCGGGTCATGGCAACATAGAACAGACGCACTTGTATCAGCTTGGAAAAGACAGGCTACGCTTTCGTGAGCTAGTTTTCGACGCTGCACCTTGCGATGTATGCTTGCTTGAAGTGCTGTATGACAGCACCAGCATACGTCATGTACTCGTTAGACGTCAGAAGACTTCGTTGGCATCCCGTCTTGTTGAAACATTTGACTTTGCCCATGTCCATTGCGAGCGCATGTCTCAGGTCTGGTGGCGAGTGCTTCTATGCTGAGTGTGATGCCGATCGTCCTCCTAGGAGCTCCCCTGAGTCTACCGGGGTTGCGATGTTGTCAGGCTGGTTACATTACCTGAATCGTTGGCGAGGACCGGATGGCGAAACTACTCCGATGCTGAGGTGGAATTGGTGTTGGAGGCCGTGGCTCAAAACCGCCCTGGATCCAACTTGGGATTTTGGATGCCCTGGCAGGGAGGGTGGGTTGACGGCGAGGCGAAGAAGGCAAATCCGCTTCCCTTTCTTTTCGCTCAGTCCGGCGATTTTGGAGTTTCCGAAAATCAGGGGTACCTTATTATGGGGCTCCTTATGATCCTAGTTTTTAGGGTATTATATGTGGGTCCCATATTTTCGGAAAGTCCCAAAAGTTCATAGCTGCAGGACTCGCGCTCTGATCGGTCGCGGAGCCCACGCCGCGAGAAATGCCCTTGGTGAGGACAATCATAATAAAACCCATATCCTGGTGCTGTCATACTCGTGCCAAATATCCATGCCCAAGGGTGAGAGACAATCTGTAACCTTCAATCTGTGATATTAAGATATTGATGGACACAAGTTCCATCGACCGCTCAGCAGCAGCTGCATTCGACTGAACAACATCGGCCAAAACAAGCTCATGTGACCTTTCAGTCTTCAGCACGCATGTGGGGCTAGCTACCAGTTGAAATGCGACACTGCTCCCCCCTGAGACTCGAACACAAGCACGATGATGAAATGGGGAGCTGAAGCAAGCTCTGCTTGGTTTTCAAGCTACCAAAACAGCCCTCAACTCAGACGTACAAACTCGAACCAAGCGGGTGATGTATGTCACACTGACTCGTCGCATGCCATGGGCCTGCGCCTGGTAATGAAGATGGTATGGCAATGTTTGCCCAGCTGTGGGAGTACTGGCACGCTCGACAGTACGAGGAGGCAGCCAGCGAGGTTTGCCGACTGGTCGGAGTGGAAGAGGAAGCTTTTTCATCACAGAGGCAGCTGCTAACTGCTGCCGGAGCTGTACATGCTTCCGAGTGCCCAGCTTGGTCCGAGGAGGATCGATCCGTAGCATTGCTTGGGCGTAACTGCTGCAACCGATTGGCTGAGAGATCCTTGCGCAACAGCAACTGGCCCGAAGCAGCTCGATGGTGTGCTCTCGCCTGGCGACTTGAGGGTGGTCAGAGCTGCGCAAGTCTTTGGCTGGAAGATGGCAGCTGGGCAGCTGCTCGCTACCAGCGCTTATTCCATGCGGCAGAAGTCTTTCGCCTGGCATGCAAAGGACGAGGCCAGAAGGCCTCGAAGAAAGCGGCGAAAGCAGAGGAAGGAGGATTCGATGGATCGGAGTATCTGCAGGCTTCCAGAAGATGCCTGGAAACTTGCGAGGCAATACTCCAGAGGCACCCAGCATCACTCGGCCCTTTAGGACTTGTCCCCCCTTCAGCTGTTGAGTTGATCTTCTCCCAGAGTTTATATGAACATTTACATGGTGGCTGCGTACACAGATTACTGCCTTACAACCGGGCCGCACCCCGCACCCGTTACGTGCACCCGTACCACCGGTATGTATGTGACAAAGGATGAATGTTTGATGCGATCGTGCTGCAAATTTATGTAATGCCACAGGGGCGAGAATTGTAAGCGTCAGACGATTGGCATCGTGGGCTGCATCACATCGGGGTTGACATGGATTTGAGTATCCTTCCCTATTCATCGATATGTGTTTGTTTACGTATGCCCACTACTCTCAGTTTGTCTTGTAGGTGGCCGACCTGCACCGCAAACCCTGAAGGTATTTATACCTGCCACGACCTTGGCTGCAAGAGCTTCCGTCGATGCGCTGCGGTGCTTTCATATGCTTTGATCGTTGCTAAGGCCTGGCAGAAATCTGTTGGCAGCTGAAGGAGTGCTCTTCCCGTTCCACGGAGATCAGATCTTGAGGGACCGCACATCGGGCTTGGCAGGACATCGCTGCCGTTAGATGGAGCTGCCGACAAGCGCCCTCTGTCCGACAATAGGCATGCAACGTTCGTAATTTACATTTCACCGACACCTACCATATTCGACATGAAGGAAACTGAGCTTTCTTCGTCAGTGCGTCTGTTCCTGTGGTATTAAAGGGCTTTCCCCGAGCATGACAAAAGTGTCTTGCTCCAAGGTTGTCTCTACTATCGCCTGTCGCAGGCCAGAAATGGATACGATCGCCTGTCGCAGGCCCACGAGCTGTTATCCGCAAGTGCCTCTTTTGTGAAGGTTTGACCTGCGCTCGTGCATACGCGGGCCTCTTTGTCCTCTGGGTGTTTCAAAGCAGGAAGCCCAAGCGCAGCTTCAATGTGATCAGACACAGGGATCCCGTGTCCAAGTAGCGAAGGTTACATCATCCTTACATGACCCAGGTGCCGCGCTGGAAGCTTTCAGCTGGCGAGAGGCGGTTGCTAGTCGCACCTGCAAGAGAGTTCTTTTGACTCTTGACCTCAAACCGTTGCACAAACCCCGAAACCCTAATCCGGCCCGGAGGTGCGTGCAGCGCTGCATTGTGCCAGCGACCTCTTCCACAGGCAGTGGTGACATGAGGGACAAGTAGCAGCTTAAAAGATCTTTTAAGCATTTTTTTGGCAACTTGTGACGAACCCGTGAAGCCGTTGGGCCGTTTGTTCTCATCACAAAGTGAGTTATCTCACCATGATTGCCGGCGATTGCTGACCACCGAAACGCAAGGCTCGCGACTCGCTTCGGTGCCTCAGTCCACTTGCAAGGAGACAGGACCTAAGCTGCTGTCAGATGGGTCGTGGCGATGGTGTTGAAGCAGAGGCTCGTTGAAGTGAGCCACTGGCAAGCCAGACAACCAGGCAGCAGACCATAAGCTAGTGGCCAGAGCCGTTTGAGACCCGGCAAACGTCACGGCGTGGATTCCAGCAAAGTGTGACACTTCGAGAGTTAGACCATGGGAGATCTCGGTGGCCAGACTGCAACACATGTATCAGGCACGCATGATCGTGGATGTAGTGGACCACAACCAGCGGATCTCCGCCTGTGGCCGAAGCCACAGGTGGAGAGAGGCCATGCATCTCCTGCAGGCCCTTCAGCCGAAGCTGCGAGCCAGCATCATCACGTTCAATGCGGCAGTGGCCGCGTTTTCACGTGAGAACTGGCAAAGGGCCCTCGACTTGCACAAGCAAATGCGGCAGATGTCTGCGGAGCAGGATGTGATCACAGTGAACACCTCCGGACAACCATTGCAAGCAGATCTATGGCAGACTGTTTTCAACATGATGGAGACTGCATGGAGAGCAAACATCAGGCTAAGTCAGACCAGCTTTGGAATTGTCATCAACAGTTGCACAGCTAGTGGAAAATGGGGTCTGGCGATTGGTGCACTCAGCCAAATGCAGAGGACAGCCTTGCAAAGCAACGAGATCGTGTCTGGAGTGCTCTCAAGCATGTTTTTGTTTCGTGATTCGCTACTAGCCTGACCCCATGGAATGAAATCGCAACCTAGGTCTGGAGTTCCTTGGTACATGCATGCGCGGTGTGGGAGACTGCATTGGCCATCATGGAGGCTGCTCTTAAAAGCACACGGCCGAACCTTGTTTGCTTTAGCTCCTGGAGCAGCGCACTGGACCGGAAAGCCACCTGGGAGAGATCCCTGTCCTTGCTTGATGCTGTCATGGGGCGGCATGTGCAGCTTGGGAACAGTTTTCTGCACAATACTGCCTGCAGCTCATGCGCCAGGGTGGCACGCTGGGAAAGTGCCGTCAAGGTGCAGGTAGATGTCGTGAAACATGGTTTGCAACTGGATGTCGTGGGTTTCACAGCGGCGATGAGCGCGGTTGATGCGCCGAGCTGGCGACACATACTAGTCCTGCTGAAGACGGTGTACAATTCTGGCATCGAACTCAACAGTCTGGCATTCAACGCTGCTGGCGATGGCCTTGCAACAAGTCGACACTGGGACTCGGCATTTTCTTTGTTGGAGGAGATGCATACTCTTCGCATGGAGATGGATGCGTTCACATGCAGCCTAGTCTGGACCGGGTATCGTCTCTCCGGCAGGTTGGCCACAGGCTTCCTGCTGCAATCCCTGCAAAGCGAATTGAAGCCAAACCGGGTTTTGCTGTCAAGCGCTATCACCTTGTACAAAGAATGCTACCAGTGGACATCGGCACTGGACATTCTGAGCTCCATGCGAACCGCCAATGCGCAGCCTGATCTGATAAGTCACAGCGATGCTATTGGAGCATGCTGCGTGCCTTGTTGGCAGGTTGCGCTTGGCTTGTGGCTGCAAATGCCTGCCCAGCTGGTGGAGACAGATGTGGCTTGCACTGCTCAGATATTGGAGAGTGCCGTTGAGCGGCAATCCTCCTGTGCTCCAGAGCTTGCTGACAAGCTTGATGCCTGCGCAACCTCGCAGTATGCAGCATCGCGGGAGTAACTGAACCAGCGATGGATGCACTGTAAAGTCAGTGCGGATTGTTTGAAACCAAGCCAAGAAAAAAAGAACAGCTACTGTGCAAAGTGAAAGTCCTTAACGGAACCCTTTGCACGCAGCAGTACGAGATGGAACCAAAAACGTCAAGCGGTACATAGCTAGCCTTGCCATCGGCAATCTAACATACTTAAACCTTTGCAGGCCATTATATCTACGCATGTGTGAGCCGCTTGTGCTCGCACCTTACTACCCTCCAGCTGAAGGGATTAGGGGCAAAGGTGTGCGTATCGTCGTGCACGGACGAAATTCTTAATTATTCGACATGTGCTGCGCTTCTTTGCTGTTGTTGCACGTCTGGTTGGGGATTCAGGTTTCCCTTCATCAGTGATGTTGTTGGCGTGCGGGTAGGTGGGGCTTGGGTGATGCGACCACCGTGTGTTGCTTGCTTCGGGTGCATGTTGATAGGGTTTTGGCTGCTGTTGTTCGCTTGCTTTGAGCATATGCTCGGTGGTGCTAAATCCAGGAGGAAGCGCTGCTTCGGTAATGAGTTGGCCTTCACCGCACGACTGATTATGCCTTCTGCGTTTAACGCGGCTGCTTGCCGATGCCAGGTTGGAGTCTGCTGGCATTCCAGAGGACCAGCTCGGGGCGCAGGTGTCTCAGGAGCGAGATTCACATTATCAATGCAAAACAACAATCGACAGAATTCGAAGCATGAGCATCCTTAGTATCATCACTGAATCGTCATATCATCAGCAGCATTGCCGTTGGAATACCAGACATCCACGGTCTGTGTACGACACGAGATAGTAGAAGGCCGGAGGAGGCAGGAGGGAAGGGAGGATGAAATCACGACAACAGGAAAATGACTGTGGCGAGGTAGCAGTGCGTTTGCCACTTTTATCACTACAGTAGTAGTAGTAGTAGTAGTAGTAGTAGTAGTAGTAGTAGTAGTAGTAGTAGTAGCAGTCTCGGCAAGTTGACAGTGCTTCCAACAGTGCTGGCAAGCCTCAGGCATCGGCGCTTGCTGCGGAGACTGCAGAGACAGGGTGGTGTTGCCAGCAGCCTTGCTCTTCCCGCATCGCAGCACAGCACGTGAGCCGTGAGCTTGCAAGCCGTGCTGGGAGTTCACGGAACTCCCAGGCTGGCGCAAGCGACACCGACGAAGTTCAGCTGGATCTTGGCCCGGTACATAGCCTTCAGCTTTGCCTTCACGCATCGCCGGAAGAATCGCCGAAGATCACTGTGGCTGAGGATTTCTATCAGGCTCATGCAACTCAAGCTCTGTACTGTCCCTGCCTGAGTAACCTCAGCTGGTCGGGGAGAAGAGGCCAACAAGTTCAGATACGTTCAGCCGGCGGAGTCGCATCACGAGCCAAACCGAGGCGGGGGGAACAAGCGGCATCTTTGTCCTGTGAGACTGGCGGGTCTCAAGGCAGCAAGGCAGGGGCTCAGCAAATGCCGGTACGCCCACGCTGTTCAGAAGCCAGGACATTGCATCACGCCAAGGTGGAAGTGGCCACGATGACAGAGGATGTTCCTGAGCCCCCTGAGCCTGAGGCCTCCCATCCTTCGGATTTGGCGGCGGGCTTTTGTTGTCGCACAGTGAGACACCGCCAGGCAGTGAACTGCCCCGGCCCTGGCGACTGCGGCTGCAGGCACGGGCTCACGAAAGACCGTCCGAGAAGAGTGCACACTCGTCACAGGGAAGGCTGGCTTTCAGACGATCCAGAACGTGACTTGGTGACAAGGGGGCAAACGCTGGTTTTCCTCTCGGGTCGGCATGGGTCGGCTTTGCTGTGGTGTCCAGAGCGGCATCTTGGCTCCGGCTACAATTAGGAGCCACGATCTTGCAAGCTGAGATGCACGGGATACCGGTAGAAGCTGTGTGATAGTTCAGCGTCTCACTTTGCTCTCCATGGGATCGGGTTCCAGATGTGAGTTCGAAGAGGTTGAATCCTCCAGCCTGAAGCCGGGATTCGAGCAGGAAGTGACACAACCGCTGCTGATTCGGAGCGCTGAACAGGCGATGCCTCTATCAAATATCCTAGACTCCTTTGGCAATGTAACGCTGTACATCACCGATGGCATTGAGAATCAAGCACAGCATGGGTTCACTCAAGGTGAGGAGATACGAGCAAGAGATTTCCTGCAACGCCTGGACAGCAACACGTCCATCCCATACGCTTTCAGACAATGTCATCTCAGTCCAAGCTGTGATGAAGACGTAGCAAACACGGTTGGCATCCCGAAGTTTTTCAGGGAGACCGCGCGAGAGCTCTTCCTGGCGATCGGCATCTCCCCAGGTTCCTTTCCCTTACACAGCCACGATCGGACGTGGGCACTACTACTCGCCGGAAGCAAGGAGTGGCTCGCCATGCCACCAGGCAAGCTCCCACTCCGTCCCTATCTTCATCATGACCAAGCGTCATTGAAGAGAGCTGGTTTTCGATACTGCTTGCAACATGCTGGCGAAGTTGTATTTTTACCACGAGGTTGGTGGCATGCAGTTTTTGTTCGAAGCAGTAGCTTTACCGTCGGTGGTCAGGGAACGTCTAAAGGCTTAGTCTTCAGCGCATGCCGGGGAGACCTTGCAGCCTTTAGAAGCAGCCGAACCCATGAGTTTGAAAAGATGGACGCAAGCGGGATCAGCATCGCTGGACATGCAGCCAGAGCCGGTCACACGGCCCTTCTTTCAGCATTTCGGGAAAGAGGCGCAAAGTTGGACTCGCAAGATGCAAATGGGTGGACGCTGGCACATCATGCAGCGAAGCTTGGCCATGTTGCCGTGATACAGTGGTTAGGTGAAAATGGCTTCAGCACGAGCGGAAAAAACAAGATGTCCTGGGGCCCTTTGCACACCGCGGCGAAAGCTGGACACCAGGGAGTGATCGAAGCGCTTCTGCGAGCTCGATCAATGGTGGAACCAGACAAGGCAAGGGCAGTCCTGGTCCAAAGTGTTAAGTCCGTAGCGCTGCAGTGGCTGCGAATGCTTTCATGCCCGAGTTTTGGCCAGGAAGGCAGAACACCTGCTCAAATTGCCGCCGCCCACGGGCACATCGCTGCTGGGAGCATCTTGCATGCCGGGCATCCGAGAGCCAGTACGAACCTGTGGCAGATGGCCACTGCTTTCGCCCTAGTCCTGGCCGTGATGATTTGGAGGTTCTTTGGGCAGTTTGGGCTCCGGCAAAAGAATGACATGCCAGCTTTACGAAACCACAGACTCCAGCAAGATTCCGCAGCACGTAGATGTGACTGGATTGTTTGGCGAACTTCCCGAGGACCAGAGATCCTGGCATTCCTTGCCAGCCTCGCTGGCGGAGAGGCATTTGTCGCCGGGGCGTTTTGGTGTGTGTCTGCACCGCATAGCAAACACAACCGAGCTCGCAGAGTGTTGTAGGCAAAGCGGCCGCGACGCAGGCGCTGGCAGCCCCTCCGAACTTCAGGCATTGCTGTGGAGATGTCAGAGGGGCTTGTTCAGGATACCGTACTTACGAGCAGGGTACACCAAGCGACTCTCAGACGGATGCACGGAATCCCTGAAGGTCAAGGACGCTTGGATGACTTGTTGGCAGCCGCCGAGGCCGCAACACCAAAGTCTTGTCGTGCCCTCGTTAACTCTGGCGGCAGGCTGAGACGTCAACTCGGTTCATGTTTGCCCCAGGTCTCTCTGGGATGCCGATGAGTCCACAGCCCGCGGGAGCCTTTCCACAGCTACGGCTTTAGACCAGCGTGAGCTTGGCCACTGCACCTAGACCTAGACCTGGCAATGTTGTGAACGGCTCAAGGTGACACCCAGGATCGAGGAAACAGCAACGCGTCCGTCAAGCCCGGCACCACCGCAAAACACGAAAGAGGAAGCAGACTTCCTGGAGGCAGGCGATTCTGCAAAGGCTTGCCTTACATGCTGTTTATGCTGTTTGCGACTTCTGGCACGGCAGGCACTGCAGGCAGAGATGCCGAGTCGAACGGTGCAGGCTGCACGAAGTTTTCCGCGTTTATAGCGGCCAGTCGCACATGTGAAATTTTGGACGAGGAAGAACATGCAGAAGGACGTAACGGCTGTGAGAACTTTGCAGAGATGTCGCCTGCCCGCACTTGGATGAACAGCTAGCAACAGTTTAAGTGTTGCTCAATTGCTCAATTGCTGCTTGTCCTCGTGCCGTTGACGTTTGCTGTTTCTTCGTCATATTCCACCTCTCGAATTTTCGTGGCCGCTGTTGGAATTCCCTTGCCCTGTAAGCTCGTCCCCTTGCTTTGCAGCCTAGTTGCCGCTGGAACCAGAACGTGCAAAGATTTGTTATGGTTTGTTGAACACTCCGAACCACCTTAGGCCCGTCGCAGACTACAACGGATAATCGAGTTTCGACGCTAAGAAACATGGTGTTGCTATGTTTTGCCCTAGCTGGCAACCACTGTCTGATGAGAAGAATGGGAATTGCCTGTTTGGTCATGACGGTCGGCATGCTGTCGAGGTATGAGACAAACCAGATAGGCAGCACGAGATTCCGATGCATGAGGCAAGTAGGGCCAGGCACAAGATGATGTGCGAGAAGTCTTTCGTACATTGGGCATGCAAGGAATGTAAATAAACCGTGAATTCTGGATGATGGGTTTGGTGCCTGTCTTGCGACAACAAAAAAGCTGTGAAAGCGCTGCAATGGCAACATTAAAGCCCATCAGTGCATAGGTTTTGTACACTCCACACAGCTTGTTTAATCTTCAACCGGCCCTCGAACATTCTCAGTGTTATGTTTTGAGAGATACCATTAGTGCAGCATAGAGTATTCAAAACGAAATGGTGTCCATGCCATGTGCTGTGCAACAACGGCATGTTCATTCTGCACGCTCCAGCGGCGGAACTTCTAGTTGAAAAAGGGGCACATCGAGTCTCATGCTAGTTCAACGTTTCTGTCCTGACCTATTTCCCAGGAAGCGGGCCGTTGCCCTGCCAACGAGCCCCGGCTGTGATGATCCCAGCCATGCCAACAGTCCGGAGTTGGAGCCTCCTGCACCTGCGAAGGAGCTAGTGATCAACTTGTATTAATCCTAGCCGCGCAAGCGCTTGCATGGTGTTTTTTTCTGAAGGAGCACTGGCCTCGACCCTGGCTTTCTCACGCGAACCTCACATTGTGTGGCACTTGGGCTCTGAACTCGCGTATGGTCATGTAGGGTCTTTAATCGGTCTTCCGGTGTACACCCAGACTCCCAGACCTGACCCGACCTGTGTGGCGCATCCCTGTGGCACAGGAGCAGCGAAACCGCTCATGGCCCGGAAGTTTCCTTCAGCTCGGCTCCCGGACTCTCCCTTTGGGGGCTTTGGCCTTGAAGGAGAATTAAGTCCCGGTCCCGGCGGCAGGCGTGGGCGTCAGGTCCTCCGCTGTGGAAGATGTGTTCCGTCTCTGCGCCGTCTCGGACGGCCTTCAGGCTGACGAAGCTCTTCGGAAGCAGAAAGAAACCCGGCGGTGACCGACATCTTCTGCTGTGCTGACAGCCCCAGGTTTGCTATGAGAGGGCCAGCCCGTCGCAGCCAACCCCTGCGCTGCCAGCCGGCATTTGAGGATGATTGGTCTTGATCCTTCAAAGGGTCTGCTCTGTCCAAGCCAATCCACCCGCAAAGGCGACTGTTTGACGATTATGTTCGGGTGATACCGAAAAAGCGGTCTCAACTAGTTGCGAAACCAGCAAGCTGTCTGTGAGGAGAACAGAAACCTGCACCAAGTCCCAAGCTGGGCATCACAGTCCTGCTTCGGCTGACCGAGAACAACGGATTGCGGCCAAACATGCGAACGATGAATTTCCCCGAAGCCTGCTCTAATCAGGGTCCTCATCCATTCCTGTCCCATATCGCATGCTAGCCCTGAAACTCGAAGTTGTAAGAATCCCGGTCAAACCCGAAACCAGATGCCTGCCACTACCAAGTCCTCCCCATAGACGGAAATCCTGGAGTTGTTGAAGAGATTTGCAAGCTTTCAATATGCCCACAGCGGAAGTCATCAGCTCTGCATATTCTGCATACCCTACCCCTTCCGTTTCCAGAAAAGCCTGCTTTGATGAAAACCCATACCAATACTGATGGACAGGCAAATATGTGCTTGTGCCTATATTTGCAGATTGTCTTTCACACGCAAGTGCCTTTCAGAAGATGCAGGAGTTGGTAAATTCAGCCACTTAAGAGAAGACATCAGACGTTTGTTCAAACGTAGCAAGATTTTGGGAGTTTTGAGAAAGTGACAGAGGACGCACAGCCGCAACAGAAAGTTCCCCTTGCTAGCTGAAGTGGCCCTGGAACATAGATTGCAGCATGAATGATCATGAATGTCTTTTCCGAGCACGATCCTAGAGTGGATAAATTTAGCCTTGGTTCGCTTAGATTCGATCCACCGTGAGAGAGCGAATGTGCCTTTTCTGTCGGACACAGAGGAAAGTCGATCTGCTGCAGCGGCTAGCAGACTGGCAAAGCACCAAGCCCGGAAACGTTGTGGGCAAGATCGCTGATGCTGGGCGTGAATGGCAACGGGTGAGGGTGGTGGACGTAAGGGGAGCGTTGAGCACTTTTGAACTAAGGACGCTGCAGTGTCGGCACTCCCACGTGGCCCAATCGGACCTTCAGCAGCCAGGCTGCGCAGGCACTTCTCCCATTTATGTGAGGTGGCAACCATGAGTTTCAATGTGCTTGTACTGATGAGAGAATGTGTGCTCGCCGACAGCATGAAGCCTGATAGCTTTTGCCCCAAGTCCTAAACTGCACCCGCACAAAGTTCTTGCAAAGGAGCACCTTAGCACTAGCACGATGCCCTACCAGCACCCACAATGTACACTTTCCTTCACGGAAGGTGCACCGCATGCGATTCCTCGCCACATTCGAGCACGAGGCTCACTGAGCCATCGGAGCGCCGAATCCCCGACACGATGAGCTCTTGTTGTGCGGCGGTTTTGCCAGGCTGATGAGGTCCCAGGAATTTAGGGTCTTGAGGCTGTAGCTTTGCTGTAAGTCGGATGTGGTTTTGAGGGGTTGGTGGCTGTTGGGCTGAAGGCGTGGTCCCAACCTTTGTGAGCTGGCTTTCATCCGTGAATACCAAACTGTCAAGCTCCGGCATGCCTTTCAATCTGCCAGAAATCTCTCCACCGGGCCTGAGCTATCGCTTCCAAACGAAAACGGTTTTAGAGAATCGGAAGCCCCTTACAAACCCTGAAGAAGATCATCGAGGTTATCCGGCTATGAATACGGTGTCGGTGAAAGCACAGCTCCACCGGGAACCCCATCGTGGGAAAACATCCGAAACCGAATGGCAACACTGGTAGCTTGCACGGCAAGCAGTGTCTGGAGGAACTTGGCCTCCTCGCCATCAAAAGCTCCTTGCTCAGCACTGCAGATTGGTGACCACCGAAGCGTGGATGCGACCGGGTCTGGGGAAAAGTAGTCTTGTGTGGCACCAGCAAGGACAAGGACAGCAACGGCGAACAGCAGAAAGGCCGCCAGGACAGCTTTTGTGCTGGCTGCATGTTCACTGAGTGGAGAAGAGCAGCCAAATCGTAAGTCGCAAATGTCCCATGGTAGGCAGGAATCCGACTCACAGCTCGAGCACGGCAGACATCCTGCGAGAGGCCTATCGCGAAAACCGCGAGGCCTACCGCCAGGGTCGGGTAGTCGGGGCTGGGGCTGCGGCTCACACCATTTTACGGTCGAAGCCCTCAGAAAGGACGCCGAGATCTGCGTCGCTGCCGGAGAAAATGCGAAGGCTGGCAAGAAGCGCACCGGCGAATCAGGCATCTCCAGAGCAACGACGCCTGACCTGTCCTTTGCTTGTAGCATCTTTTCGCATCCTTCAGTACTTGTCACAACTGACCAGACATTCTGTACACTCCGAAGATCTCTCGGCTGAGGACACCCACAGCACAAACAGGTGACTACGAAGCCACCCAGCTGCCCCAGCTCTCGGACGACTGCCTCTGCATCTCGCCAAGTCGCGGGCTGTTGAGTAGATCTCCCAGCATAGCATACGTAGGATAGAGACTAAGGGATACGTGCGACCACCGCTCTCCAGCAGACCTGAGTTTCCGGCTCGGCAACTTAATGCGCCATGGCTGCCGACTTTTTGCCGGAGCCATGATTGTGAAGGGACATAGGTGTAGCCAAGGTACATAGGCGCCATGCCAAAGCATCCGAGGAGTCTGCTGCTCAGGCTGTGAGTCGATTTCACGGCAAATGACACGAATGTCGAGGCACGCGAGCAGTCGCAGCACGTCTATCGCGCTCAGAAGCTCAGGTGCAGCACTCATGCTGCGTCGTCATGCAGCAGTTCGGAGCCAGTGGAGGCGGTGGAGATGGAATTTTGGCAGTTAGATGGCTCTGAATGTTGGAGCGTGTGTGTGAGCCACCTCCTGCATTGACACCCTGCAAGTTCTCAAGGAAGATGACCATAGCCAGATAATTGCATCGATTGCAAGCAAAGGGCTTGCAAAGACATAGGTAGTGAGTGCTGAGAATCTGTGGCCCAACAGTGGAACGTGATTGGAGACAAGTTGCCGATGAGTGTCTCGCAGGGCCAATCAAGTACAGGAGCTCGATCTCAGCCTCTCGAACACCAGTATCAAGTACAACTAGGACAAGTCCTTAAGCTAGCCGGTGCCATGGCAGAGACGTCACAAGCAAATGAAGCCACGGATGGCCCCGCCTTGGATGGCTTCTTGGCGTGCTAAGCTCTGCTAAATCAAAGGTGAGCCTGATGCCTGTGCTTCGGCTTCGGCACGATCGGCACTCCTGCTGGATTTCGTGCAGTCGCGTTTGAAGCAGTCTGAGGCTATATGCAACAGCACCAGATCCAGCCATTCGTGCAGGACGTTCTGCCACCTCGATGAGCCAAATCGAAGCTCCCATCTCGCGCCAGGAGATGCTGACAGAGCTCTTTGCTGCCCTGCCAGAAGATCCCTACGAGTACATGTCCGGAACTCTAAGCTCTACCTTCCGAAGCATTCGTGCGGCTTGTTTTGGCCATCCCAAGGACATATCACCTGGCATCTCGTCGCCCTGTTCGACCGCCCCAGGAGCAAGCAAAGACAGCAGAAACGTCCACAAGTTGAATCACCAGTCGAGGACCAGAAGCTTATCAGCAGCGGGGTCTTGTGGGCTTTGCTGCCGGGAGGTGATCCAATGCATCGAGCTCGGTGCGACTGAAAGTACTGATAACCGGCAAAGTAGTCATCACCCGAGCCTGCATGCCATGACCGTCAACAGGTCTCTAGAGCAGTGGCGACTGCGGCGCTGCTGGTTGACGGAGAAAGGCAGCTGTCGCAAACAGTGCCCACAGCACTTCACATCGATCTGACGCCGCGCGCTGACAGCTGCTGTTCAGGCATCTTGTGCGTCAGTAACTCCGCCGCGGATGTCGTGCGCGACGACGCTGGTGGTACCTTGGCTGTCTCACCAGAGGCTGAGCAGCTCCCATCATTTGCATGAAACTTCTGAGCAGATCACGTGATGGCGACATTCGTTTATCATGCTCCAGGTGTCGTGGTCTCACCGCCCGAAGATCCTGCACCTCAGGATGCCTGCACCAATACTGACTAGCTTGCACAAGTGTCTGCAGCCACGACAGAGAGCTTGTGTGACACCGTTCAAATTTGCTGTTGCGAAATCAGAATCGGCCTGAGAATGGTGCAGGAGTATCCCCTCGAGAAAGGGGCCACCCACAGGCCAGTCCAAGCACATCCAAGCACCACCCTTTGGGCGTTGAATTATTCGAGCTCGGGACTCGACAGGGAGCTGGATGAGGCGGAGGCCTCTCGACCCTTCGCCTTCCAGGTGGCGGTGAAGCCCGGACCCTTGGCCCACAGAGCCGACAAGGAGCAAATGGGGGTACATGGAGGTCGCGACGCGCGACGCGAGGGATCTTGCTCGTCCTTTGGTCTTAGAGGAACAAGATGGTGGCCGCTGGGTGCTGCAACTGGCAGCCAGCTCCGAGGACCGGACCGCCGGGACGGACTGCTGTAGCAGCACATTCTGCCGCTTTGCCGAGCTGTCGCTGCCCCTTGTCAGGATCAGCGCAACGAGTGGTTCAGCTTGTTTGCACCCTTTTCACAAGCAGCAGTGCTGAATCTTGTTTGCACTAGTCCGCCAGGTCGGTTAACGACGCTCGACCCAGAGGGTTGCAAAGGGCTGTGCTGCGAAATCACGCTTCAGAGGCCCTCCATGGCGCCGCCATCTGAACTACCCTCTGTGAGCGAGGAGTAACTAGGCGGCTCTTCTCAGGACGGAGGCCTGGCATCGTTTGATGTGGTAGTGAAGTGTCTGAGACAAGTGCTTTGCCCGGTGCTGCTGCGTAAGACGCGCAGCTCACCGGTCAAGCCTTCTCTTTTCCTATTCTCACCAGTGCAGCTTGACCTGGCCCAGCTCTGCAGAATGTTAACTAGCCATGTCAGCAGGCTTGGGATAACCCAGAGCGTGTCAGACAACCATCTCTTTCTTGCTGGACATGCGTCGCTGAATTTGAAGCATGACTTGGCGGAGCACGCTGAGTGTGTCACACTGGTAAGCATTCCTCGGCTCTCGTTCCTCAGTAACGCAGTTGGTGGATGCAAAAGTCGGCTTGGTGGATTTGCTATACTGGTTTGCTGGATTTGCCTCGTTTCGAGGCCGTGATCCGATTGTCTTCTGCCGACTGTCGCGAGCTTGGATTTGCCTCGCTTCGTCCGACGTGGAGTCAGAACATTTGGCACCGTCTTCAGGCAGTCGGGTCACCTCTGCCGCGTCATCGCCAAGACAATGCATCAGCGTGGAGGCCGGTCGATGTAAGCAGCATGCTAGGAGTTCGAACAACTATGTGCTTGACAATTTTCTGGGGAGCTCTTCCGGTCAGGTGCGAGCAAAAGACTGTGTTTGGGCATATCGTGGAGTGCGCCGACAAGTTGCCAGCCCCTAAGATCTTCACAGGATGCATCGATGGCTCTACGGCCAAGAAGATCAGCATTTTTACATCGATACAATCATTCGTATACGCCGCATCCCCCAAGGAAGCTCCACACTTGTATTTCGGGCATGTGCCCCGATCTACATTCGAGTCGCATGGATGCAGTAAAAGCACCAGAAGCTTTGGCGACTAAGCTGCACCATCACCCTGCCGCTCCGAAGTGGCCGCAGGCTCGTCAAGTTGTGCAAAGATCTGTGTCAGGCAGAACGATGCAGGTACTGCTAATATGGTAGCGCCTGGTCGTGCTTCTGCCCGATACGCCCGGCAGCGCAGGGTCTGGCAGATGCATGTATTTGTATTCATACCTTCTTGACTTACTAACACAACCGCGCGTGTGCATTCCTAAACATTAAAACATGCATGTCGTCTAGTTTTCATTCACACAAGCATGCATGTGTGTGCTTATCCATGCACCCTGCTCCGTCCATCCTGGATGCTTGTATACAAACAGAGGTGTGTTTATGTATGCAAAAGCAGATACATCGACTAGTCAGTAAGTAGGTATGCAAGCAGACGGTGCACACTGGGCACAGTGTGCATCATCGGTGCAGCTCTGTAGACAAGTGCATATGCATATAACTTATGTATGTGTGGGTATGTTTGTTTGTTTGTACCTAGATTTGTTTGTTACGAGATAGCGTCATTGTCGAGCCATACGCTCATCAACGACGCGGTTCCTTAACTCTTATATAAGCATGTTCGATTGGAAGACAAGCTAGACGTTGCTGCTGTTTCGGGTGAGTGCGACAGTTCGAAATCGAGCTGCTGCAAAAAAATCACGCCGCCAGCACGAGACCATTGGGACGGCAGTACCGACTGCTCCAAACAACGCTTCGAGTTTCGCAGCGGTTAGCAGGGTGCTGGACAGCATTTACATATGTCGATGCAACGTAGCGCAAACATACAAGGCATGCACGTGACATTGTCGAATGATGTTTGTGACTAACACAGAACAAGTCGGGAAGCAGCGTCCCCTCTCAGACAACAAGACTTACTGTTGGTTTAAAGACCCGAGCAAGTACCAACGCTTGAGCATGTAAGAATGACTTTCCTGCCATGCGACGTCTTCCTTCTCCTTCCAAGGCCACATGCCTGAGCGAAGCAAAGCTGCTGAAGAAGTTGCAGCATCGAGTTGCTGCGAGATCAAGAGATTTGACACCCCTCGCGGGATCGGCATGCACTAAGACAGGAACACTTAGTGAGTGCTCCTTTACCACAAAGAATTCCATCTCTTCCAAATCATCGCGATTTCCAGCCTCAAGATGTTCTGGTCCTCCAACTGGTGTCAGTGCGGCGTTTCTGGTGTCATGCCTCGTAGATGTCAGGCCCACACGGGATTCTGCTCAAACGACACGGGCAACAGCTGCAGCCCTGAGACTAAAGCGGGAGGAGCAGCACGAATCAGTGCACAGCGCTGTGGAGTTGGTAGAGAGGCAGGAGGTACATCCGCTCACTGGCGGAGACATGGCAGGGCCTTGCTCTACACACGTCGTGCATGCCTGGGATGCGAGCTTTCCAGAGCTTGTGGACTGCTTGGTGCGCGACGCTGGGTCCGATCTGGACAGGCGATACAGCGTGGACATCTTCGGAGCTGAGCACTTGTCAGGAAACATTGAAGACGTTACGGAAAGTGCTCCATCACGGAGCCATCAGGCGTCTCAGATGTCTCAAGGGGGAAGGATGGACGATCCAGTTGCAACTGTGCAGGCTCTTGTGCACGGCGCCAAAGAAGTGCTGCTGGTATTGGACAAAGAGCTAACTTGTTTTTCCCGGCTTTGGGTTTTGACTGAAGCCATGATGGCCACAGCTGCCAACAAGCTTCGAATCTGTACGGCTGACCCACGGGGCTATGGGAGCTCCATGGAGGATATTTTGAGGTGGGAGTCGCGTATTGATGCCATCGACTGGTCATTGGCTGAGGCCAGTCGCAAGAGTGATGAACGGCGCCTTCGAAGCTTCAGCGAACGCGTGTGGGATCTTCACGGCATCGGGAACGAAAGGCTGTTGGCACAACTCAAAGTGCTGCTGAGGAAGGAGGTGAACGGCCAGCTGCTCATCAAGGACAGACAGTCTGTTCCATGTAACGTAGAGCTTTTCGTTGCAAAACACTAGTTAGCCTCAGCTTCATCAGAGATTGGCAGGCTGTTGAGGCGGGTGACTCCAAGGCCATTGATGCCGCGCTAGACAGAGGTGCCGCGGCAGTGTTGTGATGTTGACTGTGGCTTAGGCGGAACATCAGACAGTCCACCAACCTGACATGTCAGAGCTGGGTGCCAGGAGCCTCGCTGGAGCAGCGTGACGCAACTCTGCCACTCGTTCGACCTGCACGAAAGCTTGTTTGAGTGGAGTGGCACCGATCTTCGGTCGCCAGGCAGACGGCAACACCTTGGAAGACCTGGCCTGCTACTACAATCACCAGGTGCGCCGGAGCACGACACAGTTGAGCAGTGGTGGTCATTCTCGCTGGTGGATTTCAAGGACATTGAGGAGATGCTTTTCGAGAGGACGCACCCCAAGCTTTCAACGGATGTTGTGTAATCAAGTGCATCCGAATGCAGTCTGAAGAAGTCTCTGCATCTCAGAAATTCTCAACAAAGGCGCATGCGAGGCAAGGCCCACAAGCCGCTTTCAATGTTTTTCCGTCCAGAAGATCTGATGGAAAACTGTTCGCAGCTGAGCATAAGCCTGCAACTACCCCTGGGTGTAGTCAGACATGTGCAAAGGTGCCGAAGCCCTCCCAGAAGTTCTTCTGCCGTTCATGACCCAGCCGAACGACGGTTGCTGAGCTCAGCTTACAATGCAACTTGCAGGTGATCCTGTACAGCTCCCTACAGCACCTTCCTTCACAGATTAAGACCCTCGAATCGTCGAAGCCGCCTTTGCGTAAATTTGCCACCTACCGGACGGTCCGTTCAAAACTTTTCTGCCGTGATGTGTTGCCAGGCTACCTGGACGGAGGTGCAGAGGCCATGCTGACATGTTTTTGGCGTCGAAGTTATTTCAATCAGGTCGGCAGACAAGCTTTTGAACTTTGTCTTGGGTTTGCAGCCAGCACGCTCCAAGTCAGGATGAGGACGACGAAGAAACTTGGCGCTATCTGGCAAGTTTCGAGCAAGATGCTGCGCTGCGGCCTGAAATGCATCATGATCTATGAATGACATGGCTCAGCCTTTGACCATCTTTGACCGCTCTGTGCTTGCTCCAGCACGGCCGTGAGGTCTTCAGGGGCTACAGCAGTTGCTTAGCAGGTTCGTCGCCTGGAACCGCTCCACAAAAGCTTGGTGCAGCCAGGTTTCACTCTGAATTCTGAAAAAGCCGCAGCAAGGCAACAGGCAAATGCCTTTGACCTGCTCCCGGGAGCAATTCTTTTGCAAGCGAGACGAAACAGCTTCAGTTGCCCAAAGACCCCCGCAGTCTACGCTCGCTTCACTGAAACTGCTCTCCTCGGCTCTTGTGGAGACAGCGCTTTAGGATGCTTTAGGCCGAACTTCTTCCTGCACTTCAAGTCGTCACGTTGCAGGGCACACTCTGCGTCTCAAGCTAGGAAAACCGTTATGGAGACTTGGCCATGTGGGCCAAAGCATGTCATCAGTTCTCGAGGCTGGACCAAGGACTTTGGGCTGAATGTACATCTTGTGATTAACGTAGAATGTATTCTTGTCTTCCGGTGGCTGTTGTAGCCTCTACTGTGCGGACGCATTGTTCTACTCTCTGGATGCAGTGATTCTTTGTTGCGTGACGCACAGTTGGCAAGAGCATCGGCACAGCTTTCAGGACTTGTTTGGAACCTCGGTGCAGCACGGCCGCACATCAGAAACATGTGTGGGGCGAAATGATCTGCAAAAGGACAGATGCATGCAGCGGCTACGGTAGAAAGAATGTATGGTAGACATGCTGCACTAGATTTATAGTAAAAGCCTAACCTGCAGTTTCGTGTCGCAGAGGCTGAAGGACTTGGACTCATCGCATCCATTTGTCCACTGGGTTGGTAATTCTGCCAAGTGTTTTCACGAATTAGGCATGTCCCACCACGCGCTGCAAGATAGCATCTAGCTCGCTCGCTCCTCAGCATATGGGGAGTCTGGTCACAAAAATATTGCTGTGCTGCATTTCGAGCTAAGGCGGGCTGTGCCTTCTACGGTTGGCAGACGATTTGGTGGTCGCCTTTGGGGAAGCTGGCACATCGACACTTGAACCGCTCGTGCATGTCCTCAGCCCGCAAGCCCAGTTGCAAACACCAGACAGAGCGGTACATCGGCCCTCACCTTGGTCGCATACAGCAATCGAGACACGTTTTCAGGAGCTGGGCAGCAGGCAGCATGGACTGAGAGGTTTCACTGTCTATGAAGATGAGGCTGTGGATCTTAGTCGGCAGTTGGCTGATCTGGCGAGGCGGCGTTTTCTTGCAATGCTGCAGTGCGACAAGCATCGAGAAGCGAATCGAAGAGCCCCTGCACTGTACTCTCCAGGGATGTGAAGGACAGCTCCAAGAAGCAGGCCACAAGTTCAGATTGTTTTGTGTTGCAGCCTGGTCTATTGCGCCGAGCCGACAGGATGCCGCAGCTCTTTGTGATCGATTGGCTCGGGTCTCAGCATTCTTTGATACTGCCTTGCGTCACTTTGACCATCGCTATGCCTCGTTCAGGCCCGACGTTTGAAAAATGAGCTGCTCCCTCAAAGCTTCTCGCAGTACGGCACCTCAGGCATCAGCTGGGAACATGTGTGTTGCATGTCCAGTGAGGTCTTCCAGCTTCCGAGCCCAAGATGCAGGGTCCTCGAAATGTTTCCACAATCAAAGGCAAGGCCCAGGTCCAAAGCCAGATGCTTCCAGGTGATTCAGCTGGCTTCATCTTTGCAGAAGCCGCGGCCCAACTTTGGATTTCACGATTGCACACGTCACATTCCCAATTTCAATTTGTGAATCTTCTTCCCAGTCCGGCTCTGGGTGTCTGAGCCAAAGGTTTGATTTCAAGCGCCCTCGACAGAAAACTTTAGTGACAGGGAATCGGATGTGGATCCTGCACACAAGGCTAGATCACTTCTGCCCTGCCGCAGAAACGGTAGCCACGACGCCGGCAGACGTTCTTCGCGGTGTCTCGCCCGATGCCCGCCATATTTGCCGGCACAAGGATGCACCGACGGGAGGCTCCTCAGTCCGGCCACCTTTGCTTATCCAACGAAAGTATTCTCTCTACAGTGCATAAGATTACTTGTGCGAGCGGTGCCCAAGATAAGACACGAAGCGTCCAGCAATGCGAACTTACTGCACTCGTTCAAGCGGCATTGAGCTGAGAGACGAGCACGAACGATCTGAAAATGGCACGATTCAGAGTGGACCAGGCTGAGACAGCGGAACACCCTGCTTTTGGAGACTATCTCCTCCCATGCCGCAAGCCTAGCAGGGTTCGCCTGGCTGAAACGGCTTGCCCAGTCGAGAGAAACATCACCCCTCTGAAGATTCTCCGTGGCATGGTCAGTTATCCACTTTTCGGCCTGTGCGTGGTGCTCAGATGGATACAAGCAGATGACATTCCAAACTTAAAGGCCCGCTGTTGCCAGAGGACTGACTAGGGCTGCGACTGATCGAAAAGGTAACATCCTGAACTGTTTCGCTCGGCTGGGCTACCGGAACCATCAGCTCATGGACGTCGCGACCCTAGCTGCCAAAATCCTGGTAGAATTGATTGTGTGGCACCCAGCGTCGTACTGAAGGCAGTGGCGAGTCATACAGCTGATAGAGCCAATCAGCTATCACCTATTGATATTGCATCGCCGTGCTCTTAGCTGTTGCTGGAGGCATGTTATGCATTTCGAGTTCTCAGGGCACGGGCGTGGGCGGCTATAGAGGAGCATTGACCCTTGGAGCCCCAACCTGCTTCCGAGGGAAGAGAGTTCGAAGAAAGAAGCCTTGGCACGAGTCCATGATAGTCCGTTGTATTCGGACGGCATGACTTATGAAGGGAGACACAACTTGAACCCTGTCACTGGCCCGAAGCCGAATGCGACGTTCAATCCGAGCACAACTTAAGTCTTCCGAATCACACAAACACTTCTTGGGTGCAGCAGTGACGGAATGGGCGCAAGGCTGGGTCTGCAGACACAAAAGCCTCATCAGAAATTCATGGCCCCGTGACTGAGGCTAGTTTTTGCAGCAGCCTCAGTGCCGTTCGAGGCCCTTCCATGCTGTGCCGCGGTCGCGACAAAGGCCTTTGCAGAATTAGCGCACCAACCACGAAACCATCTCCTCGAGGCAATCTCTTGGCGATTTCACTTCGCATCGCACGCAGAGTTCACAACGACGCAGGCTTGCGCCGCGCGGCTCCAGGACTGTTATCTCGAGGCTCGGCCATGCTCCACCGGGCTCGTAAGTTCTTCTTGGCTGCGTTGTTGGAGAACTGGCAGGTCAGTGGACCCAATGCCGCAATCATCCTCAACTCGTACTCACGACTTGAGGCTGATTTGTGCCGAATTCTCGGCTCCCATGAAGTTGAGTGTGATCTACCAGGAATGCAACCCCGACTTGTTCAAGGCTTTGTCCAGGCCGCAGTGCAAGCACGTACACCGAGTTCTGTACCAGGAAGCCCATGTCCCACTCGGTAGCAGCAGAAGAAGTCGCGACTAGGACATACTAGTAAGATGAGAGCAGACGTTATCGGACTGGGCATTCCTGCAAGAATGCTCCCCTCGTGTATCACGAAAGGTCCGTCGTGCAAACAGAGCCGAGAAGTTTCCAAGTGCATCACCTTAGCCCGAAGCTTGGTTGCACCTCACTGTCTCCGAGAAATCCAGGGACCATGTCACACGCGGGCCACCTTACGATAGCAGCATGCAGTCAGTTGTGGGTTTAATCCGAGGCCTCGTCATGAATGCGTTCGCGAAGTGCCTGGCATGTACCTCGGAGCTTGCAGAGCTCATGGGCATTGATCACAAACGACACGAAGATTCGACCGGCTGCATGTGCGAGTTCGTCAAGCAGTTGAAGCTTCACTCAATAACATGTTGGCACATAATGTCCAGGTAGCAGCATTGGAACATGGCAGAATCACCTTGCCTATCCGAGCAAGAACAACCTGAAACGCACTGCAGACTAGAGATGACAGCAATGACGTGGCTCGTAATGGCAACGATGCTTGTCCAGAACTCAGAGAGGAATGTGGACCATTGGAACCGCTGGTTGTCTGCTTCTCACTGACGACCCGAAGGTTTCGAAAGTGACCTGCGACAGGCCCCAGGAGGAGCGGCTTCGGAGACCGTTGAGCCAAACAGAAACTTACATTATTGCAGAGGATCTCATCTTCCTCAACACAACCTCCGGTTCGCAGTTGCTCAGGTCCTCGGCCACGAAATGGGCCACGGAAGACTTGCATGCGCGCTATGCACTCTCACGGTCGCATATGGCAGGTCAGCTTCGCACGCAGAGCTGCAGTCTCAGCATCATGATATCACTGACAGTTACTGCTGAAGAGTGGTCGGGCTCAACTGCTCCGACACCACAGGCCATACTGGCAATTGTCGCCTCATTTCGTGACAGAGCTGCCTGGAATGTGTGGACCGACCACAGCACGAAGCTGAAAGCTTGAGTTGTGCCACGCCAATCTTGCACATTGAGCTTAGCACGAGAGCATCTTCGAATATCTTTGACACCAAGGCGATCATGATGCTCAACGCTTTGGCTGCTCAGGGTCTACCAGCTGCAGCAGGGGCCCCAGGGGGGATGCCCTGAAACCAAAAAGACGTGTTGCAGCTCCGGAGGGCCACTTGTCCGACTCCAGGTCTCTGAGATGTACTCTTACCGTTCCGCCAGATTCTCGCAGGTTCGGAGACGCGAAAGTCTAGCAAGAGCTGAAACGATCACCTGATGACAAGGTGTACCGGTATTGGGACAGCCAAAACGTGTGGAATGGCTCTGCAGCCCAGTGTATCAAGGTGTGGCGATGCATTAAAAACACGTTGTGGAGCCTTTCTTAGTGCTTCTCGGGTTTATTGCCAGGAGCAAACATCTCCTTGGCAGGGATCCGTTCAGCAGGCCACATGCTGCACTGTTCTGTGGCACATAAGACTTTCCCTCGCCCATCTCAGATTGGTGGGATGTTGCGCTGCCACGGTGCAAAGGCAACCGTCGCACGAACCTTACTTCACACTGTTATCACGTAAGTGCCGCCTGGTACTGCTGTTTGCTTAGCGCAAGCTGCCGACTTCTGACCAAGGTGGAGGCATCTAGGTCCAGCCTAGAGCAGTTTCGCCAGACTCTTGTCGAGGCCTGGATATGCCTGGATAAAGTGAGCTTTGGCAAAGACCTCATCCCAGTAGGGCAATGCCGAAGGCTTTCTCGGACAACAGCCTCAGGTCGGGTGGCCCGGTCAAGATGTCGCCAAACACGAATTCAAGGATATAGGACATGAAGCTCCTGCAACATGTACCCTTACATGCACATACCTCCTTGCATGCATGCCTACATGCATTCCGGACCTACATTCATGCCTACGTGCTAATGTGATAAGTGATAAGTGAGGAGACATTAGTTGAGGTTCGTCGGGGTGAACTTCGACAGGAAGATGCTCGGCCAGAGAGGCCGTGCAAGACCAGCCTCTACCAGACCGTGTGTCACCATGTCACGGCGGGAGCGGCCTTGCACTGCAGGTGCCGGGCACCATAGTCCTATCGGGGCCTATGACCAGAAGTCGGATCGTGTTCTCGTGATGGATGTCGCTAGGCGCGGATGAGAAGTGCAGTCAAACCGGGTGTGTAGAGTGTGCCAATTTCTTCCCTTCCGGCACATGCAGGTACAAGTATCCTCCTTTCTGGGCCGGCCTGACTGATGTTTTTCTGGCCATGAACTCCACAGCAGCTCGGCAGCAACAGAAAGCTTCGGTTGTAGCCAGGCAAATCTGACAAAATCTGGGTTCCAAGGCACCAGAGGTCTTCTCAACTCCTCGGGGATACTTGGTGGTGTCGATGCTTAATGAGCCGAAGACGAACGTAGTTGTGTAGGCATGAGACTTTGTGCTGTGTACAGCAGACCGCCGCCTCAGCTTGCTCTCTTTTTCCAGGGCGTGCAGCCCTTCGGGCGTGCAGGCATCCTGAAAGGGGCATGGCTTTCGGCTTTCCCTCTCGAATGAGAGGCTTGCCTTCCAACTTCCAAGCCTGTCTGAAAGGGCCACGTGTAGAGCGCCAGCAAAGCCCTAAAATTGGACAACCGGCCCGTCGCGGCAGAGGGCACAAAGCGGGCGACCGGTTCTGCTATCCTTTGGACATTTCTGTTCAGGTGCGCAAGAGCCAGACGCACATCCTGCGAGCTTGACCTCAAGACGAGGTGGATTCAAACTTGCCCTGCAAGAGCCAGGATGCACGTGCTCGGCGACATTCTGGCATCAAGGTTCAACGGCTCAACGCGCAAGCAGTTGAACAAAGATTGAAACTTCCAGGACCGCCGAGCTCAGCCCGCAGAATGTGACTAACATTGTTCATGCATTCTCCAGGTTGTCCTGCTCGGCACCCAGGGTCCCAATGCAGCTTCGAGATCCTAATTCCAGTGAAAGAAAGTGAGGCTACAATGTTCGCTTGTTTCAGAACCTGGTCACCCGGGTCTGCCCCCTCGGTGTTCCTTGTTTGGCACATGGGGTTCTTGCTCGCAGCATGCGCCTTGGCGAGGTGTCCTCCGAAGACTTGAAAGCTTACAAGCTCTACGAACTTGGGGCCCCAGGCTCAGCTCACAGACAGCACAAGACGATCTGGCATCTAGGATCGACAGAGGTGCTTTGCCACAACTTGGCAAAGCTGCGATCTGGCGGCCCGACGTAAAGAACTCAGACCAAGCTTGAGGGTGCCTACAGTTCATGCGAGGGATCACGCAGAGCGTCACGAATCCTTTTGGGGCACATTGTGTAGTCGCCTCGATGTCGTGGCCGCAAGGGTCTACGCTGCCATGTTCGGGGAGTTGGCAAGGCGACCTGCAGAGGCTCCCGTGGACGAAGTCCTGGGCGTTTGCTCCTTTGCTCCGGCTTCATCTCAGTGCTGAGATATCCTTCGCGAGGACTGGGAGCCCAAGGCGGTGGCACAGGCAGGATCCAATAAGAAGAGAATATGTTGAGTGAGTTCATGAGTTTATGTCTCGGTCTCGGTCATGAGTTGCCGACACCGACGGAATCTCATGCACAGGTATATACAGGACGACAAAGTACATGCAAACTGTATTGTACTGGTAGCATTGAGAGCATGGCATGGAACATACATGTTATCCTTTTGCACAAATTTCAGGTGTACGAGGTCTACTACGGTATGTGCACTGTAGACATGTTTTCAGTTCAGGTTTAGCATCTTGCGAATTTGTTCATCCCTGCTCCTCCTGTCCACTTGGAGAGAGGTGCTAGACGCTATGAGACGTCGAAGCGCATTCAGCCAGTGGCCCAGGATGGACATGGTTTTTCCGCCGGTTGGTGTGTCGTTGTTGCTGCGGCTTTGGCAATCACGGCGGTCTTGGTGATGGTGTCGATGTCCCGGATCATAATGATGCAGATGATGTGTGCTTGCGGAGGAAGCTGGGGTATCCCTTTCGATTGAGGCTGTTGGGCCGGCAGGTAAACCTGTGTGTTGATTATGGCTTCTGGTAGTAGCATTGCCACCACTTCGAAAAGACAGAACAAGCTGGTGAAACACGTCGCCTGCGTAAACAGAAAGTCGAATCGCCTTTGCTGTGTAGGCAGGTGCCTTTTCCTACCTTCAAACGCTGTTGCTGCCTCTCACGGGGTCCCTAGGTCCTAGGTCAAGCCTAGGGCTCTCACATGGACCTTTGAAACGGATTCCCCTGCTTCTGGCAAAAGCATGGCAAATCCTGAATCATAGCAGCAAAGAGCGTCGGCAAGCCTGAAACTGCCAAGAACAGACGCCGAATCCTGCCCTGGAAGTGAGCGGGAAAAGATGCGGCGAGTCACCAAGCGGTGCCAACAAGAACACAAAGCAGTGACAGCTTTGAAGCGACCAACTTGGGTCTTTTTCCTATCCGGGTATCTCTGGACTCAACTCTCCATCTTCTACAACTTATGGATCTCTCCCGGAGCCCAAACTCACACGAATTCATGGACAGCCCAAACCTCCGTACAAAGGCGTAGCAGATGGACATGTTGCATGCATCGTCTGACAACTCGAACTCACCGCAGATGACGATACATAGTGAGGTTCCCCTCAAAACTTTCTTGATGGATCTTGATGGACTGTCTGTTTAAGTAATACGAGGTCACGAGCAGCTGCTGGTCGGATCCTTACAGGCCTCGCTGCCTCGCTCTGGGGTTGAACGACGACAGCCGCAGCAATGATACTAGTAGCTGGCGCCCGCTGCATGATCGACCAGTTTACGTTGACTTTTTGCAGCTGATACTATCAGAAAATACTGTTTGCAAAGCCGATGGAGCTTTGGTAGTCATCGAAGTGTCCACTTAAAAAGTGAAAGCTTGGTCAGGCACCGCAGCACGTAAAGGCAAACACGTTCAACTTGTCCATGGCAACCCTTGCAGCAAGACTGTCCTCGGGCATGCTGGCGCCTGATGCTGCCTTGCGGCGACGACTGTTGCTTTGCGGACAGCTGCTTCTAGGCCACAGAAAGACTGACTGCGGCCTCGTTACTGTGAGACCGGCATTGCTGCCGAGGTTGGTCGGGTCGGCTGTGTTGTTGCCAGTGGTACATGACACCTTTCCGCGCTGCTTCGCAAACTCACCACCTATCAGAAGATTGAGGGACTGTCCAACCAGAAGGAAATGTGCCTCGTCATCCATTCCATTGCTGCTGACATCGAGCATAGATCCGGCAGACTCGGATGGGCTTCTCAAGATCCTGGGCGTTGGTGAAGGCCCCAGGTTGGCCTACATCGGGACCGCAAGGACGGCACCACGCAAGGACTCTGAGAGGCCTTTGAAGGACCAGCGCAAGAAGCGGCGCTACGAATCCCGACATCGGAGCAAGCTGCTGGGAGAAGCTTTGGGTGCATCAAGTGTGGAGAACATCTTCCTTGAGGACGCTTGCAGGGATAAGAAACCACCAGGGAATGTCTCGCTCCGAGTGACATGCGGCAGGACATGGCAATGGGTTCCGATGTAGGCAACTTGGCCCTCATTCGGATTCAGATCGTTGCCTTCTCTCTTCGGGCTGGCAGTCGGTCATCGTTGCTTTCTCATGGACTCCTGTGGGGTTATGCAAACCGGCGCCGAAGGCGCCTGCCAAGTTGATGCCGAGTGCAGTGACTTCTTGTCTTTCTGTCTGCGGTTCAATGAGGCGCAGGACAGTTGAGCAATGCGTTGAAGACTGCGCTTGGAAACGACGGCCGTGGCATTCTTTTCGTTGACGGTGGGAACACTTTCTGGCTTCTTGGTTTGCGCCGGAAAAAGGGGCAGCCTTAGACTTTCTCATACCTCCTGGACAGCTGAGGCTTTGGTTTCATGCGAAGCAGGCAGGCTTCTCCACCGCACTACGAGAGCTGCGTGCTTCGACCTCCTTTGCGACGCTTGGCCTGAGCATGTCGGGTTGTCGTTTCTGGAGCTCGTTGCGCTTTTGGCTCTTGTTCTGTCGTTGCGGCTCTGAGGTATGTGGGTGTCTCTGCTGGTGCCATACTGTCGGGCAGAACATGCAACACAGCATACTGGAAGGGTTGGGATGACCCCACTGTAGTTCCCAGCGAGTCGCTTCAAGAAAGCTTAGACTCTTGGAAGGTTCGGTGGATTGGTTTCTTCTATTTCGCATTCTATATCAGTCAAAATCCAACAAAAAGGTAATCCCAGATCAGGATGGCCTGGCGCTGACAAATCAAGCCGTTTTCCCACATTACGGGCCGCAGTGGGAGGAAACAGCGACATGGCCTGGATTGCAAAGGCACGCAGAGGCTATGTACAATGACAAGTGTGTTATATTCATTCAGCGAAGTGCCTTCCGCCGGACAGATGAGGTACGCCGCTGTGTTGGGACGTTGCCACCAGACTGCACACTCCTGTGCATCGACGAGGAGAACGGGAAGCTTCTCGAGGGAAGCATCAACTGACACGAGGCTTCGCAAGCAGTAGAAAGATCGACGCGCCGCAGAAACAAGTCAGCGAGAGCTATGCCGAAGACACCCACTGCAGAGATGGTTTCCGATGGTTTTAGGTATCGATACTACTCGGGCTTTTATTGAGTACGACAGTTTCCCTCACTCTTCCGCAGGTACCGGGAAGGCACCCAAGTCAAGCGCAGTGTAATACAGTTATACTGGACAGATGCCAAGCATGCCCAGGCAAGGCGGAGATGGTAAATCGCAGCGGCACCCTTTGCCCATGAGCCCAACCCAGCACAGCTTCTGGAGGCTTGATGTAAGCAGAAGAAGTCTCAGAATCTAGGAGCAAAGCTCTCGACAGTCGCATGCCGACATGCTGGAAGTGAACTTCTGCAGTCTTTCTGATATAAAGTAGAAATCAGACCCATCTGCGACCGCACAGTGTTCAGCCCGGCCGGCGCAGCTCCAACAAAGAACTCTTGTTGTCAGTAAGTGTGAAGAAAGGATGAACCTGCAGAGCCCAAGGTTTTGCTGTTCCGATGCTTCTTCGGCAACTTGGATGCTTATCCAGTGCATCCGTTGACTCAGGCCAGTCCTACCCTCCATAAGAACACGGCTGTCAATCACATTGTGTCCTTGACATGAGCGCACAGCAGGCATCCTGGTGCTTCGTTGAGTTGGATGCCTTGAACCTCGCGAAAGACTTGCTGCGAGCTAAGCTTTTACCGGTAAGCGGTTCGCAGGACAATGCGACTTGTCAAGTTCTGTCATTACAGGTGTCCAGATTTGCCCAGCGACGAGTCAACTCAAGGTGCGGCTGGCTGGCTGACCAGCTTGAGCCAAGATACAAGCAGCTAGGCTAGGATTGAGGTGGATGAGACGAGACATGACAATGCATGCCCTCTCAAACCACCCATAAAGTGGTCCCTGCTACTTGTACATGAAAAGCCGTGCTGCTTTACACTTCTGTTGCGCGAGGCTTCCCAGAGGGGCGCTTTGCCATGAGAAGGGTCTTCGAAAGGCTGGAGGCCCTGTGGCAAGACGAAAGCCTTGTAGCACCCGACCCGCAAGCCGTGCACCTCTGCGAAGTTCCTCGTTAACTCATGCCCTGAGACCCTTTGAACTCCCAAGATCTTCGAATACTGACAGCTGCAGCCAGAGTTGGCAAGTCTTTTGGCTGTTGCTCTTCTACGCCATGCCCCACAGGACCTCAATGCCCGCAACACCTTCACGCCCACTCAGCGCCACGCCTAGCTGCAGCGCTTTGCGTTGGAACAGGTCAACTCATGGCCTGCATCAGGAGATGCCATGTCCAGCAGCTGATCCGGGTCGGCTCGCTCAGTGTTGGAATTATCCCGTCAAGGACGAGGTCATAAGAGACTTCCCCAATGGGCCCCTTGTGAGGCGTACAGGTATCGCTTCGAGTTGGACTACGGCTTGATGCCCCAGAAGGCCCACACGAGAGGGCATGCAACACTAACCAGTTGTGAGTTGTGACAGCAGGCTCTTGTGCTTGAATCATAGGTTGCCCAAGCCTACCCCTGGACCCTACCCCGCAATCTTGACTAAATGCCTATTAAATGAGCTTTATATGGCGGCCCACCATCTACCTTGGTGCCGTGAAGCTGCCCACTGTGAGTTGTGGGGGTGGGGCGCGGCGCGGGGCAGGGCGGGGCGGGCGGGGCGGGTGGGGTGGGCGGGGCGGGGGGTGGTAGAGCGAGCAACCCCGCTTTTCACCACCTCCTCATGTAATGCTCATGTAACGCTCATTTAATGCTCATTTAACGCTCATTTAACGCTCATTTAATGCTCATTTAATGCTCTGATGCGGGGTTGGTTCTTGCAAACGCAACTAGAGCTGGTTTGGGGTGGGGTGGGGTGTGGGGTGTGGGGTGCGGGGTGGGGTGGGGGGTGGGGTGGGGGGTGGGGCGGGGGGTGGTGGGATGTGGGGTGGGGTGGGGGGTGGTGCAGCGCAGGCAGGGCAGGGCAGCAAAAGCAGGGAAGTGCAGAGGGTGGCAGGGGGGCAGGGCAGGCAGGGCAGGGGGGGAGGGCAGACATCGTCTCTCACTAGTGTTCGTTTATTGCTCACTTATTGCTCCCATAATGCTCACATAATACATTTTTAGTGCCATTTTAACGATCATTTATCGCTCATTTCTTGAGGAGAGCCGGGGTTGGTCCCCGGGGTTAGTGTGAGCTACCAATGATTGAACGTCCCAATCATGTTCCGAAGCATGCATGTTGGTTGCACCATCAGGCAAGCCAAACCTTTTGCCATTAATACTGCAAAGTGTGGCAGGTAAAATCCTTCTGCAAGTCACAGTTTGACATCTCAAACTCTGTGGCGCTGCCCTCAGAAGATCTCAGGCAGACGTCGCTTGAAAATCGGCCGGACGATGAGTGATGTAACTATGCGCAAACGGTGCTTCCAACTTCCATTCATCATTCTGCCGCCAGGTGTCTTCTGTGGCTTGGTCATGAAAAGAGCGGACTCGAATCTCACATCCATCAATGCCAGAAGATGAACTTTTGTTGTAAGACTCCGCATGGTCTGCACGCTGTGTTTTTCGTCGAAAGGCCTGCATGCTCGAACACGAGGGCTCATGCGATGGCACATCATGTGAAGTTTGTATTGTCCGCACCGCGCAGCTCCATGTCATGTGGGACATCATGCGAGTATACCTACCGAGCAACGGCAGCCGGCATACCCGCACAAAGCAAAAGTCCTGCTGACTTACGCCTATGCTCCGGCATGGGCTTTTTTAAATTGTGCACCAGTCCCATCCTGGGCACATGGCTGTCAGAACCTGAGCTGAAGGTGGTGGGTCCATGTTCACCTCCATGGCACCAGCATGGATGGCCCTGAGAAGTGAGGTTAGCATCCTGCACAGGCCTTGGTACTCGTAAGCTTCATTTCCCTCGGCACTTCGCTTCGCTTCATTACCGGCGAGCCTTTGCAAAGTCTTAGGTCTTTGGCTTTGTGGCTTAGTTGTGTCCCCGAGGTTGGCTGCAAGTTGCAGCCCAGTTCAATCAAAGCCAAGGCCCTCTGCTATGCTTTTGGATATCAGAAACTCCCACTGTGCATGACCCTAGTTTGCTCCTGTGGCCGAGAGGCGGACGCATCCAAGAGCTTCAAGAAAAGTTTTACCAACTCAAGGCGTTTGGCAGCACTGAGTCGGAAGATTTCGGGCCCCCTCACTGCAGTCTACCAGCACTGGCTGCTAGGCTTCGATAGATGATTCCGAGGAGGTGAACCCTGCGAAGTTTGTTTTAGGCTGTGCAACTTCCTGTCACGCATGGTGCAAGTGCGCATGGATGCGTGCTTTCTCACAAAGTGTCTCGCATCATGGCATTATCAGGCTGATCCAGAGGTTCTGAACACCTTGCACAGTATTGAGCAGCAGATGGAGGTGCCAATTTGGCTGGCCTTTTGGCGTCACACAGCTGTACTCACTTGCAGGGCATTTTAGTGCTGGCACAGGAGCTGAAAGAGGGAAATCAGAACTTGGAAGAGGCAAAGCAGCAGCTGGAGAGGCAGTGCTCCCTCCATGTGACCGAGTCTTGGAAGTGACGATCCAGCCAGGTCTCGCGAAAGCCTTGATGCCGCACCTCTGGCTCTTTAAAAACTTTTTTGCTCTCTCCCACAGAGCGATCCCATAGCCCATAGCCTGAGATTCCAGCGGCGGTCGAAATTGCAGGCCGATGCAGCCTGGACGGCCACCTGCGCGATGCTCGCTCTCTTTTTGAGCAGCTTCCGTTTTGGATGGATGTGTTCTGGCTGAGAGCGTTGCGAGGCTTTGCCCTGGCAACACAATCGCTGGGGTTTACCAGAGAGATCATGAGCAGCTTCGAGTACGGAGCTCTGCTTCGGCCAGCCAGCAGGGGGGCCGGCTTCAAACCATGCGGGGGGAGCCTTCAAGGCGTGCCTACCAGTATCCATGTGCCGTAGCGGTCCAGATCTCCAATATCGACCTTTCTTCATGAGAATCAGTGATTTCGACAAAGAATGCAACAGGTCTCGAGTCTCGAGGATTCTTTGGATTCCGTGCATGCCAGACTCGAAACGGGCGGCATCTTTCGGGCTACTTAGGCTTTGCACCCAACCACAACCTCCCAGGAAACCCAGCAGAAGTGTCCCGCGCCCGTCACAGACTGAATGTTGTAGCCACATTGACACTGAGCTGCAGTAAGAAAAGTGCCACTGAAGGGAACCAGTCAGGCATGCTGCATTAAATCTGGCTTGAGGCAGCAATCCCAAACGTAGTTCCAAGACGGCTGCTTCGGCTGCTCAACCAACCCGGCCTTGCTGCAAAGGCGTCTTGTGGCCAACGACTTGCCACCTGAAGAGGTGCGGCTTAGTCCATCGACGACGAATACATTTTGCAGATGCTGGTCCTTGCTGTGTTCATCAATGTGGACCTTCGGGACTAGTTTGTGGTTGTGTTGCGACCTTCGCAGACAGACAGACCGACAGGCTCCACAAACATAAAGTGGGGCCCGGAATTGCTGTACTCTAGAATGTCAGTTCCTGCAAGACTTGCAGTTGCCTGAGCTGCAGGCTGCAGAGCTGAAGCTGTATCGCATGGTCAACGTGTGCATCCACAAGCGAGCAGAAGGAGGCGACTCGGCCGCTTCCGTTTCTGCTGTGCTTAGTTCTACAGCATCCTGGAGCCAAACTGGCTGGTAGACCAGCCGCCCAGATTCAACAGCTCCAGTTAAGACCGTTTGCAAGCTCCAACCCCGGTAGACGAGAGAGAACAGCAGGAAAGGAGGTCCCACTTCCCTATTCCGAGCGATTTTGCTGTCTTTGGATTGGTTCCGTCCAGGTGAGACGTCTGAACTTGCGCTCGATCTGGTGAAGCAAGTCATGGCGGCCATGAAGAGAGGTTCGGACTTCACATGCCAGAGACGGTGCCACTGTCGAGTCCACAGGCAAAAGGCCACCGAAGATGCCAAGAGCCTGCCTCCAAGACGGGGAAAGACGAAAACAAAAGCGCACTTCTTGCAGCTGTGCCTGCGTTCGAGGAATGGGCGGACGACGCAGACAGCGCTCTTGGCATGTGTTGTTCTGGAAGTCTGGATTCTGTAGTCTTGACAATGCCAATCAATCTTCTAGCGGCAGTGATGGCTGATCGTGGCGTCAGGCGAAGACGCCGCCACCCAGGCAGATGTGTGATAGTGCATGATTTCAGAGTCGCGGCATGCATGGTTTTGTGTGACAGATTGTTTGTGAGCTGGCCAGTTGAAGGTGCGAGAGCAGTCTGACAAGCTCTGGGACCTCATGCGAGCGCAGGTCGGGAAAGCGATTTTTGATGGCAGGGCTCGTTTGTCAAAGTCAGGCTTCTGGAAGACTGGTGTGAAGTGGTAGTACGACGTAAGCGACAAAGTATTACCATAGATCCTTCGGGCAGATCTTTCGGTGTTCCCTACACACAACATTTGATTCTGACTTGTTGAAAGTTTGGAGAATCAGGCCGAAGTTGCTGTCAAAAACAACCACTGGACCAAGCGCGGTCCACCTTTGTTCGGTTCCCAGTGCCGCTAGTTGGATCAACTCAGTCCCTGCACCGCCTGGAAGTGTGCGAGGTTCTTCCTGGTTTTTGCGCTCCCAGCCTTCATCTCAGCCGATGTGCATGTTTTGGTTTCGTCTCCTCGATGTGGGCACGGCAGCCTCTCAAACGACGAGTGCTCATTCTTGCGGTGTGCTTCCCGCCGGACCTGTGTTTGTGAGTGTGGTTTCTGTGCGTATGTTTGGATGGAAACGTGTATCTGCACAGGCGTGCTCGGGGACTGCTTTCTGATTGATGCCACTGCAGATGAATTGCTTCCCAGACCTCGTCGGATGAAGAAGCATCCAGTAGCAGTTCACTCTTCGCAACGCATTGGCTGAGTTGCCGCTCTACTATGTCGTCGACTGGTTGTGGAGGAGACCCGAAGCCTGAGAATCGCAACGTTGCTCTTTTCATGTCTCATGCTAAGCCCTTGGCACCCATCCGATGCAGAAAATGGCGAGCACCCAAACCCGAGCCGGTGACCGACGCGAAGAAGGCCGACATAGTTGAGGGCAGATGATAGCGAGACACCTCGATACTGGCAGCAGGAGAAGCCTGCACCAAAGGAAACCAAAAAGCACAAGTGAAGCGGAAAGCTTTGTTTCAAGGTGCCCGACAGCAGGGAGCCTGACTTACCCATTCAAGCATGGAGTGGTCGCAGGCAGTGAAAAGCAGAAAATAGGTCAGATGTTCAAGGAGAAAATTATAAGAAAAGGTATCGAAAGGGAAGACTTCATATATATATATATATATATATAGATCTTGAATTCTGGACCTTGGATATATATATATATATATATATATAGATCTTGAATTCTGGACCTTGGATAGATGAGACGAAACTGATTTATTAAAATCGAATTCGTATCGATCTTGCTCCGGCAAAGTGCCTCGAGGGTCATTTATTGGCAATGGTAATTATTTGCCGAGATCTCTGATAGGACTTGACTTTTAGGAATAGATTATAATATTTCTTATATGTAGGTCTTGGTATCTGATAAGAATATCTTGGATTGATGGTGCGCCCTTGATAATGAAATCAGAATTTTTATAGTTTTTTATTTCCGAGGACGGGGCCTTGGGTTGATGAGTCGTTTCTGATTTTGAAATCAGTATCTTTAATTAGATTATATTCCGAAGAAAAGATTTTGAAGTGATGGAATATTTTTGATTTATAAATTAGAATTTTTATAGATCTTGAATTCTGAAGAGAAGGTCTTGAATTGATGGAATATTCTTTATTTTTGAATTTGATTTTTATTATTGATATCTTTCTTATTGATGATCATAATATCGATTCGGATTGGCCAAGATAATATATTCTTTCTTCTATATTTTCTGAATTAGTATAAAAATATATGTTGTTAGGTATGGTGATGTTTATTGATGATTATTAT